TTTTTTTTTTTTTTTTTTTTTGCCGAGATGAGCCACGGCTTTGACCCCTCGCGGGCGTAGGTCATCCTGCCCGTCGCATGTCGTCATTCTGTTTCGTCTCTGCAATCCGCACTCGTTTCACGCAGCGATCGGAATCGGGTTCGCGGGTCCGGGCGGCGGCTTGGGCAAGTCGTCCTACAAAATCGCAAGCACATTAGCAAAGCTTTTTTCTTACGCAGAACCGGGCCAGAGAGAAAATGCGCAGTACAGATATCCGCGAACGCAGCGAGGACCAGAAAAAAAAAAGAAAACGTACAAGGTCGAAGATGACGCGGATCATCAGGCTGCAGCTTGGACACACGGCGACGTCTTGCTCGTCGCGTAGGTCGTCGAGCGCAATCTGGAAGCGGTCACCGCACGGGCATGGGTAAAAGTACGTCTGCAGGGCGGCGTCAAACGTCATGTCCTCGATCTCGATTTCGTCGTAGATGGACAGGCTGTCGTCCTCGTCGGCCATGTCGGGCATTTTATCTCTCTTCTCTCTGCTTGTCGAATAAAGAAGAATTAAAACAAAATTAGAAAAACGCCAGCAAGAGAAACAAGTTTGGAGGGGTCAAACGGCGTGGAAAATCGCCACCAAACTGCGGATAGTCTCCGGGGATGAGCCGACTCCACTGGTGCCTTGTCGCCCAATCTGAATGAACCCTCCAAAACTTTTTAAACTTCTGATCGTCCCAGTATAATAACCTCCCCAGTATAACTTGTTCTGCATTTCCATGCCGGTGCGCCTGTTTGCGCGTTCCCTTACTCGAACCGTCTCTACCATTTCTACCGTTCCATTCCCCCGTCTTTCACTTCCCTGTCTACTTGCAATGGCCACTGGTACGTTTTTTATCGTTTTATTGTCTCCATTTACATACATACGTCTACCCCGCCAGCTTCCCCTTTATCTAGGACCCCGCCATCTTCGTCACCGCTACAACCAACAGCAACCCGAGCCCGCCCGCCCCTGCGTCTAAAATGACAGCTGCTAACCCCAGCCCTCGCCTCAACAGACCGCCGTCCCGTCGTCATCTCCGGCCCCTCGGGCGTTGGCAAGGGCACCCTCTACAACCTCCTGTTCGAGCGCCACCCCGACGCCTTCTGCCTCTCCGTCTCGCACACCACCCGCGGCCCGCGGCCCGGCGAGGAGGACGGCAAGCATTACCACTTCGTGCCGATGCAGGACTTTGAGGACCTCATCGCCCGCGACGGCTTCGTCGAGCACGCCCAGTTCGGCGGCAACCGCTACGGCACCAGCAAGATGACGATTGAGGAGCAGACGAAAAAGGGCCGCATCGTGCTCCTAGATATTGAAATGGAGGTGAGCCGTTTCTCATGTAGTGGCAGGAGACAAGACAGAGGTGGGCACGGTCAGTCGGCGCAGATGGCTAACAAGTCTTCTTCCTTCCCCAGGGCGTCAAGCAAATCAAAAACTCGAGTATCGCCGCCCGCTACGTCTTCGTCGCGCCGCCCTCGCTCGAGCAGCTCGAGAAACGCCTACGAGGCCGCGGCACCGAAAACGAGGCCAGCGTCCAGAAGCGCCTCGCCCAGGCCAACAACGAGCTCGAGTACTCCAAAACACCCAACGTCCACGACCTCATCGTTGTCAACGACGACCTCGAGACGGCTTACAAGGAGCTTGAAGCTTTCATCTACAAGCCCCTGGAGCAATAGCATGCTTGTGTCATAGAAAAATGGGGCATGCAAGCGACGAAAACATAGATGAAATAGAGAAACTGAATTATACATGGGCAGGCCCAGCGCCTTGCATGGTCTGGTGGCCCCGGAATTTTCTGCGCGATATGAATACAGCTACAGACAGCATGGAATGAGCGATTTTCATGTAAATAACGCCAATTGGCGGTTTTCCTTTACGTTTGTCCGAGCTGGTTACACGAGGCATAGTTCAAACATTTATTAGGCACAGTTCATCTTTTGACGATGCATCTTGGCCAAGTGTGGCGCATCGTGGCTGGAAACTCAAAATCACATGCTGGGCTGCAACAAACTTGTGGCACAGCCGCTGGTAACCAGCGCTAAGCATTTCCCCAGTTTCTCTAACAGGCCGAGGGATCCAACCACATGCATTCTATCGTCAGCACTCCCCTCGTGATCTCCTTCTTTCTTCCTTCATTTTTTGCTCCATCATCATTTTCATGGATTAGCAGGGGCTTCTAGATTTCCCTGCCTTCAATTGCGCTTGGCGTACCCCGTTCCCCATCTGTTCATCACTCGACGACACGCGCGCCTATAAGATCGGCCGAGGTCCTCTCCCCCAGAGAGCCGCCCGCCAAATCTCCACACCGGGGTAGTTCTGGCCGTCATAGCTAACCACCTTCCCCCGTTTATTGCCATCACCCATCGATTACCGGAGGCGACAAGGAAAGCTCTGGGCCGATAACCTCTCTCTTCTCCCCCACAGCTCCCTCCCCCTCGGACGGCTTCCGCGGCGATGGCCACGCAGTCCAAGTTTGCCCTCCCGGGCGGCGCCCACATCAACGTCCGCGGGCTCGTCACGCAGCTCGTCCAGCTGTACGTGGCCAACCGGTCGCGCATCTCGCGCGCCGTCTGGATCACGCTCTTCGTCGCGCTCGTGCACCGCATCCGCAACGCCATTGCGGAGCAAAAGGCCGCCTCGGCGCGCGAGTCGGGCCAACGCGAGGCGGCAGCCTCGTCGCGCCGCGCCACCGTCGCCGGTGACGGCGCCGGTGGACCGGACGCGCCGCGGAAAAAGGTGGCGCTCGACCGGGCCTTCTTCCGCTCGCTGATGCGGCTGATCCGCATCGTGGTGCCGGGTTGGCGCAGCAAGGAGGCGCGCCTGCTCATCAGCCACAGCCTCTTCCTGGTGCTGCGCACGCTGATCAGCTTGAAGGTGGCGGAGATGGACGGCGCGATCGTCAAGGCGCTGGTGCGCGGGAATGGTCGTGAGTTTCTGTCGCGGATCGTGTGGTGGATGATTATCGCGGTCCCCGCGACGTTTACGAATTCCATGGTGAGCAGCATAACAGTGTGGTGGCGGCGGCGGCGGCGGCGACTTGGTCTTCAACTCGATACTGACTCAAACCCCAGCTTTCATATCATCAAGCGGAGCTGTCGCTCAACTATAGAACACGACTCACGCAGCACATTCATGACAAGTACCTGTCCAACCTCACCTTTTACGGCATCTCGGCGCTCGACGACCGTATAAAGAACCCCGACCAGCTCATCGCCGTGGACGTGTCCAAGTTCTCCAACAGCTTGGCCGAGCTCTACAGTAACTTGGCCAAGCCGCTTCTTGACATGGTACGCCCCTCCCTCTGGCAACCACGCAACACCTTGACAAGCCCAGTTCTAACTAATCATGATAGACCATCTACACCTACTCCCTCTCCAAGAGCGTCGGTGGCGAGGGCGTCGTCTTCATGTCGCTCCTCGTGCAGCTGTCAGCCAACGTGATGCGGGTGCTGACGCCGCCGTTTGGCAAGTACGTGGCCGACGAGGCGCGTCTCGAGGGCGAGTTCCGCTTCCAGCACTCGCGGCTCATCGACTACGCCGAGGAGGTGGCGCTGTACAACGGGCACGCGGCCGAGAAGGACACGCTGGACAAGGGCTACTTCACGCTCATCAAGCACGTCAACTACATCCTGCGGCGGCGCTTCTACCACGGCTTCATGGAGGACTTTGTCATCAAGTACTTTTGGGGCGCGCTCGGGCTCGTCCTGTGCTCCGTGCCCGTCTTCGTCCGGCTGCCCGGTGGCGTCGGCGGCGCCGGGGGCATGAGCATGGGCGACCGCACCGAGTCGTTCGTGACCAACCGCCGGATGCTGCTCTCGGCGTCGGACGCGTTCGGCCGCATCATGTTCTCGTACCGCGAGATCATGGAGCTCGCGGGGTACACGTCGCGGGTGGACTCGCTGCTCAGCGTCATGGACGACATCCAGTCGGGCCACTTTGAGAAGAACCTGGTGTCGTCGTCGGGGACGGAGAACAACGAGGCCGTGCTGCAGGGCCGGGGCACCGTCCACGAGAGCAAGGACATAACCTTTATCGACGTGTACGTTTTCCCGAGACTGTCCACCTTGCATTCATCGCGTGTATATATGCTGACCGTACCCACAGACCCATCGTCTCGCCCAACGGCGACGTGCTCGTCAAGGCGCTGTCCTTCTCCATCAAGCACGGCGACCACCTGCTGGTGGTCGGCCCCAACGGCTGCGGCAAGTCGTCGCTGTTCCGGATCCTCGGCGGTCTGTGGCCCGTGTACGGCGGCACGGTGCACAAGCCGCCCTTCAGCTCCATCTTCTACCTCCCTCAGCGGCCGTACCTGTCGCGGGGCTCGCTCCGGCAGCAAATCATCTACCCGGACTCGCTGCGGCAGATGCGCGCCCGCGGCGCCACCGACGCGGACCTGCTGTCCATCCTGCGCAGACTGGACCTGGCGCACCTCGCGGAGCTCTACCCGGAGGGCTGGGACGCCGAGGCGGAGTGGCGCGACGTGCTCTCGGGCGGCTTGCAGCAGCGCGTGGCGATGGCGCGGCTCTTCTACCACCGGCCGCGGTACGCGATCCTGGACGAGTGCACGAGCAGCGTGACGCTGGAGACGGAGAAGGTCATGTACGACCACGCCAAGGCGCTGGGCATCACGCTGATGACGGTGAGCCATAGGAGGAGCCTGTGGAAGTACCACACGCACATCTTGCAGTTTGACGGCCAGGGGAACTACGTCTTCACGAGGCTCGACGCGGATAGGCGCCTGCGGCTGGAGGACGAGAAGGAGGACCTGGATATTAAGCTGAGGCAGGTGCCGGAGCTGGAGAGGCGCATGGCGGAGCTGACGTCGTAGGGGTGTGGTGTGCTCTGGTTCTGTTGAGTGCTGCGAAGGGGAAGGATGTTCGGCATGTCTACCGGGGCTGCTCAAGATGTATATACATGGGCGGTGAGCAGTCTGGCATTGTGCGGCGAGAAGTTTCTACTGTCTTTTTTTTTTTTCACGCATTTGTATGATATCATCATGTCTGGTTTTCCGAGGGTGGCATACAAACTTGATTTGAAGTAGACTAGACATAATGAAGGCATTGTCACTCTTTCCAGTCTCGGGGTAAGTTGAAAAGAAATGTTTCACTAGCTACCTATTGGCAAACCAAGTTCCTCGTCGAGAGCTAAAACTCGTCTTCTTACTCCTCAGTACAACTCAGCCGGGGTCCGACTCGTCTCTGCTTCTCGGAATCACCGCCGCAATCTTCTAGGCCGTTTCACAACCGCTGCCCGTGCCCTCCGCCTCATCCTCAGAGGGGCTGGAGGCGATCTCCCCGCAGAGCCTCTGCAGCGTGCTCAGTTGGTGCTGCACGAACTTCTCCAGGACGTGCGGCACGGGCTCCCCCGGCTTCGGCTTCTTCCGGTGCATGATGAAGGGGATGACGCCCTCGAGGACCTCGACGCGGCCACTCTCCGTCAATGCCGGGCCGTGGTAGAGCATGTCGATCAGCATCCAGATGTCCAAGGCGCGCTGGAAGTTGATGCTGCTGGAGTAGAGTGGTTCGCGCACCGCCACGTCCAACAGCAAGCTCAAGGCCAGCGGCTGCGCGTGTTCGGGCACGATCTTGGCGTAGGCCTTCCTCTTGTAGTCGAGGACCACGCCGTGATCGGTCGGCGACGGGAGCATCGCAGGCTTGCGCGTTTCGAGGATCGCGAGCCACTTTCGGGGACTTCCTCGTTGAATAATTTGTTCATGAACTCGTCCGCCTCTCTCAAGTCATCTAAATACAGCAGGGCGACCTCCTTGGGCATCTTAAGCTCTTTGGCGGCCGGTTCCGCCGCCTTGAGTGATGCATAGTGATCCTTAATGGCGTCACAATTGTCGTTGACGACTTGTACATTCTCATCCTCGACATCTTTGGGATTCCTCTGGTTGAATGTGCTCATTTTGCCCGCTTCTCACAATCTGTGGTGCTGGGAGGTTCGTTTGTTGATGACTTTCGGGGTTCGTATATGGGTGGTTTTCGGGCTTGGTTGGTTGACAACAGAACTCCCATCTACGTCCGGTCCTCTGCCCTTTATAGTTTTGCGAAAGGCTCCATCTGATGCGCTGTAAAGCCTTTAGAAATCCAAGCGCCTGCCTGACTGACCTTAGGTACGTGTGACAGGACAAGTGCAACGACTCGCTCGTTACGCGCTTTGTGTTGGGTGACAAAGCAGCAACTCGGCATCTATAGAGTGTCAATAAATATGGTGGTTCGCCTTTTTCTTTGTATTTGATAACAAGGCAACAAGCCAAAGTCTAAACAGGATTTATAGCTACAGTCTTTTACTCTGTGCTTTGTATTTTGCGACAAAGCAGCAACTCGGCATCTAAACGGATCCATAGCAACTCTACTTGGCTCTTTGCTTTGTGTTCTGTGGCAAATCAACATGACGTCTGCTATAGTATTAATAGCTATATTGATTTACTTCTCGCCTTGTATTCTGTAACACAATTTGTGATGGACTTTGAAGATACCAGCGTGGTGCAGCAGCTGACACACTTCCTCCTCCCCCCCCCCTGTCCTTTATGTGTTACGCGACCTGATTGTATCCTTGTGCTTCCAACAATCCTTGCCATAGACATAAATGGTTGGGATCATAAGAGGGTCTTGCCACAACTTCAGCGCGAGAGTGATAAAGGTCTGTATTACACAGCCCCTTGTTAACTTTCTCTTTCCTCCTTCATAGCCGGGAAGATTCCGCTATCACCGCCCTAATATTGAAGCCTTATGCTTCCGACACAGCAAATACTAGCGATTTTCAGCCTGATCGGCTGCTAGTGTTTTATCATTTTGGGTCGTTGGGGCCAAGTTCTTAAATCTCGTTGACATCTGATAGGATTAACAACTACGTCGGGTCACTCTATACTTTAGACTATTCATAATATATGACAGTCCAACTTGAAAGACACGCCGTATTGAGTAGAATGCAGCTATCCAGTGCTAATTTCTTGTCTGAACCCTTGAGTAAACCTGTTGCTGACCCCTGAATAAAAACCCTTCTCTGAACCTGTGAATGAGCCTCGTGTTGAGCCATTAAATATCCCCTCACACCTCCCCTATGTCCTCGTCAAGCACGGCAGTCGGGAGACTATGAGTCTCGTCGCTGAAAGCCGCCGCATTACACTCGCGCATAGCGGAGCTCGACACCCATCTACACCCGCGTCAGTCAGTATACAGACCAGGTCGAGACGCGATCCGTCCATGTTGTCCCTTGACATACCTCTTCCAAGACGATCGAGACCTGTTCCAGCTCATCATCATCCAAGCTGCCTACTATCCTGGTCCACCCCACCCACGACCGCAGCTTGACCTGCATCCGCAGCTGCGCCGGCAGCTCGTCCAGCTCCGTGTCGGTCAGCAGCCGCTCCGGCTCCCAGTACACCGTCGGCGCCTTGACGAGGCTGATGGTCACGAGTTCCGGACGCCACTCCACGCCGCCGTCCTCGCGGGGCCAGCGCTCCGCGTCCGGGAAGTAGTCGGTGTTGACCGCGCGGACGACGCGCGTCACCAGCCGGTACCGGTTCATGAGCTGGTCGTGCCACGCCCAGAACTGCACCACGTCCGCGACAATGTCGGTTTCCACCATGTCCCACCACGACCGCTGCCAGGCGACGAGGTTGAGCGCCAGCCGGAGCCGGTCGAGGGGTTCGCGGCCGGCGACCGCCTGGAGGAACACCCCGGCGGTGAGCAGGGACTCGCCGCGCGCGCGGTGCGGCGAGGCGGCGAAGCGCCGGTCGTGGACGATGTAGGCGTCATCCTGCAGAAGCACGCAGTCCCGAAAGGCGAGCTCGGGGTCGCGTTGCATGAGTTCCATGCACAGCTCGGTGTCCTCGGTGTCCCGGTAAAGGGCAGTCTCGAAGGCGTCGGCAAAGTCGTGCGCGTTGCAGCTGGCTTGAAAGTAATGCCCAAGGTTAATGTCCATGGCTTTCGTGTCTTTTTTGGCCAAAATACGGGGAACGGTCTCATTCAGACAAATGTATAGTAGCTTTCTGTTGGTCATATAAGACGTTTCTTGGAATGCCCGCCAAGGTTCCCTATAACTTTCCGTTGATCAGAAAAGATTTTTGTTTCTTGGATTGCATGCCAAGACTCTCTCTGTGCTCTTCAAGGTCCTTGTTCCCTTTTATACCTGTTCCTGAACCATACTTGAACCACGATGGACTCGAGACTGGACTCGTACCCAGCGTCAAATGCCTTTCGCGTGGTAGCATCTCGGTGCCTCGAAACATCATGATTCACTGCCCAAAAGTGAGCGTCCTTTGTGCGTTACAGAACTCAACTGTTGGTCATTGTATCGTATCGTCTGTGGTAAGTCGAGCTTATCGGAAACGATAGCGTCGCACAACCAACGAACGGCTGGAGATGGGCAAGGTATCTTTTAGATTTCTATGTAACGCAAAAGACTGAAGATGTCAATATCCAAAGAGAAGCCCCCCCCTGCCTCCACACCTTACCTACCTTTCACCCTTTCTTATAGAAACAGTCCGTGTACCCCTGCCACAACCTCCCCGACCCCACGACCGGCGCGCCTGATGATGCGGATTTCTCCGCCGGGCTGTTCGCACCAAAGGAAGAACTGACATCAGCAAAACGTGAACAACTTCTTCCCCTAAGATGGGCGTAACACACCGTCGAACCTTACCTGCGTCATCCGGTCCAGCGCGGCCTCACGTTCCACCACGCTCATCCCCCTGAGCGCGTGGCTCGCCTCTTCAAAGGGAATGGTCTCGAGGAGGACGAGGACCCCGTCCAGGTGGTCGTGGTCGTGGTCGTGGTCGTGGTCATCGAGCGAGAGCTCTACTCCTCCTCCTCCGCCGCGGCGGCAAGCTTTGACGTTGACTCGGGCGTCGTCGCGGCGGCCGTCGGGGTCGCGCCGCAGCGGCATCTTTTGGCCCGCTTCCCTTCGCCGCCGCTCGGTCGCGCACGTGCGCATTACGCGGGCGAAGATGTCCCGCGCCTGCGCCAGGTGCTCCCGATACGTCTCCTCGCACGTGCCACCGGCGCCCCCGCGGGAGACGAGCCCCACCATCCGGCGCCGGATCTCGGCCGGCGATCGGCCGGCGCACATCTTGAGGAGAGCCACCGCGCAGGTGATGTTCAAGGCGCGGGACGACTGACCGGGTAGCAGTAGGCGCGCCGCGTCGCGCTCCAGGAGTTGGCGCGTCGCCCGGTCGCACAGGTGCGGGTGCTTGTGCAGGAGAGGGAAGGCTCGGCTGGGCTGCCAGTAGCAGTGCGCGAATTGGCGGGCGAGGGTGAGCGAGATGCCCGCTGTGGTCTTTTCCGAGTTTCTCATGTTGTTCTTGTAGATAATTTGGAATGCTGCGGGTATTGTGTGCGCGTGTGTGTTGGAGCGGATTTCTTCTTCTCTTTTCCTGCAGCTGCCTCTACAACAAGGTTTGATGGAAGGAAAAACTTGTCCAGAGCGATTTGCGGTCAGGTGCCATCTTATATCATGGTTCAGATTCAGTCAAGACCCTGTGATAAGCTCGCACAGAGCTGTGGTACGATGCAAACATTTACACAGCTTGGTCGTATATGCCGTGCAACGGAAGAAGGAAAGGGCCGGTCGGCATGCCAAGGCAGGAAAATCCAATGATGTGTAAGCCTCTCCAAATCTTTGAAGATGCAACATCTGAGAATACAACATCTGAGAATACAACATCTGAGAATACAACATCTGAGAATATAACATCTAAAAATACAACATCTGAGAATACAACATCTTTGGACATCTTTTTTTTCTTCCCGCAGAAGATGTCGTGCAGCAGGCAGATGTAAGCGGAGAGCTTCAACCGGCTGGGTTGTTGACTTGTCGACTAGACAGACACAGGGTCAAGCGCGAAAATTCTAAAAGGTGACGATACCCAGGTAATTTTTGAAACCTTTACAAGGGGTTGCCTGGAACATGTTGGGGCGATTACGCGGCTTGGCAGGTTCCTGACTGACTAAGCTCATGATAAATGGCATAACTATACAACTCTGGCGCCTAGCTTGGACGTTAGGTCAACGTGGGGTTTTTACCGGTCCCTACCAGCTATAGATTGTGATTCTGATTATTTCTACATCAGTCTATTAGCTCTATTACTGGTTCACTAGGAACTGCTACCTCCCTACCTGCCTTGCGGATCGCTTGCCGGGGAAGATCTACACACGGCGAGGCTTGATATTCTTGAAACGGAGCCCCACTGGGACTTCGCAACGCTTGACTCGGCACTCGCTCGTTACTAATTAGTTACTAGGTAGGCTTTACTTTTGGCTTGGCGCAGCAACTCAACTGTAGAGCTCCGTCCGCCGCTCATAGTTTCAGAACATGATCTGCGCCAAGACGAACAAGCGGTCCACGCTTTGCGCCCATCTTTGTAAGGCGTTTCAAAATCAGGGCATGCTCTATCTATTATTCACTTCTCTCCACTCGTCCGATATCCCACGGTCCCGCCATCGAACCAACCAACTCGCCTCGCCCACACCAGCCTTGCACCAACATCCGTTTGCCTCTCAACGATGACCAACGACACTTCACTTCGCACTCGCGAGCCGGTCCCTCGGCGCCCTTCCAGTACAGCATGGCGTAGTTGGCGGCTGACATGTCGGGGGTGCTTTAGTCCGTGTGCAGAGTGAGACGAACCCTGCCTTGACGAAAATGCAGCATGGAACTATGCCCATGATAAACAGACAAGCGTACTCGTGATCGTTGGTTTCCTTTTTATGCTTCCTGAAACAAAAAAAAAAAAAAAAAAAAAAAAGCTTCGGCCATTACGCAAACCATGACATCGTCACCAGGATTCCCACAACCAGCAACCAGTCGCTCTATTTTTCTCTACTTTTTCCCACTCTTTCGTATCCTTCTCTCCTCTTCTCATTCAGCTCTTGTTTCTGCAAAGAAAAGTTGGCCTTCTTCTACTCTTTTTGGGCACCACATCATGCGTCTTTCAACATTCGTCTCTCTTCTCCCGCTGGTTGCTGGTGCCCCGGCGACGAGGAAGCGCGCCGAGCCGGCCCCGATCCTAGAGCACAGAGGCGAGCCCAAGGAGCTGGTCGCTGACAAGTACATTGTCAAGTTCAGGCAGGGCAGCGCGATGAAGGAGGTCAAGAGGACGGTCAAGCTGCTAAGGGAAGACCCGTCCCAGGTCTTCTCCGACGGCATCTTCACCGGCTTCGCTGGCCAAATACACAGCGACGGCCTCGAGGCCATCCGGCAGCACCCAGATGTAAGTCGCTCTCTTTTTTCCCCCTCCTTTTTTCTCCCCCGTCATCCACCCTTCCACCCAAGACAACAAGTTCGCCGACTCTGACCACGTTCTCGTCCCTTCCTCCGCCGGCAGGTCGAGTACATCGAGCCAGTCTCCGTCATGTCGACCAACAACGTCGTCTCCCAGACCCGCCGCGTGCCATGGGGCCTCGAGCGCATCTCCCACCGCGACAACGAAGCCGACAGCTACGACTACGACCAGACCGCCGGCGCGGGCACCTGTGCTTACGTCATTGACTCTGGCGTCGACATCAACCACCCTGTGAGTCAGTCAGTCAAGAACCCCAGAAGATGATGATCAAGGAGAGAAACTAACAAACCCCCCCCCCCCAGGAGTTTGAAGGCCGCGCCACCTCCCTCGGCAGCTACATTGGCAACTCCGACCGCGACGACTGCGGCCACGGCACCCACGTCGCCGGCACCATCGGCAGCCGCTCCTTCGGCGTCGCCAAGAAGACGCACATCTTCGCCCTCAAGGCGCTCGGCTGGTCGCGGCAGGTCGGCAACTGCGTCGGCAACAACGACATCACCATCGCCGCGCTCCACTACGTCGCCCGCCACGCCGCCGAGAACCGCAGCAGGTGCCCCAAGGGCGCCGTGGTCAACATGAGCCTCGGCGGGCCCGCGTCCCGCTCCGTCAACGAGGCCGTGGACAACCTGGCGGCCAGGGGCGTCTTCGTGGCCGTGGCCTCGGGGAACTCGAACCAGGACGCCGAGAACTTTTCTCCGGCGTCGGCTAACGGCGCGTGCTGCGTGGGGGCGACGGATTATTATGACAGGCGGTATGCAATGTCCAACTTTGGCGCGTACGTCGACGTTGCAGCCCCCGGCGTCGACGTCTACTCGACACTCCCCAATGGCCAAGCTGTAGGTTTCTCTTTCTTCTTCTTCTTCTTCTTCTTCTTCTTCTCCTTCTTCTCCTTCTTCTCCTTCTTCTCCTTCTTCTCCTTCTTCTCCTTCTTCTTCTCCTTCTTCTTCTCCTTCTTCTCCTCCTCTCCTTCCCCTTCTCCTTTTCACTCTTCTCTTCCTGACTACCTTTCAACTAACTTCTCGCAACCACAGGGCCCAATGACCGGCACCTCCATGGCCTCGCCTCACATAGCCGGCCTCGCCGCCTATCTTGCCGCCCGGGACGGCGTCTCCGGCCCCAAGCTCTGCACCAAGATACGGAACATGGCCACCCGAGGCGCCATAGTTAACCAGTACGATGACACCAGGAACTTGATTGCCTTCAACGGCGGCCGTTAGATCCATGCCGGACGGACAAACGCCACGAGACTTTCAATAGAGGACATGCTACGAGACTTGTTCTCAATTACGTGTAACGTTTTCAGGAAGCAGGACTACTTTTTAAAAATTCCACGCCTTAATTCTTTCGGCCTCTGCTGTCATGGCTGGCCACCCAACTTAACTCTCCACCAACATGCCCCCTCAGTGTACTGCATGAATGATACGGTAATCGTGTAAATTCTTAATGGATATAGTAAAGAAAATGACAATTCCAGACGCATGTAAAAAGAAAAGCTGGGAGTCAAACCCAAGTCTCTGACACGCAATCCTTGCGACAAAACTGCGACCAGTGGTATCCAGAACACCTGACTTTATAAAGAGCCAGAAAGTAAAGTACATGTATGTGAAGAAATAAAACCAGAATAAAGGAAGAAAAGGAAAGAGGAAAGCGCTCTGTAGTAAATGCCTTTGTGGTGCAGAAATTAAAGATCCGGCGAATGCAAAATGAGTTCGCTGGCAGAAAGAAAAGAAATGACAAAGGGTAATAATATGCTATAGGGAATCATCGCTTCTTCGTCCTTACTCCTCATCAACGCTGCCCATCACTGCACTATTCTTGTTTTTTATCCCCAGCTTGAGTATACTGAATCGCTTTCGCACGCTGTTGCCGCGCTTCATCAAGCCGGACTCTTTAGCTGGCACGTCCTTGGAGTCCTGTGACAGGCGTCTATCCGTGCTCGTCGTGCTACCTCGTCGCTCGCCGGAGCTGACCTCGCTAGAGTGCGATCGGAAAATAGCCTGTCGCATGCTGTTGTCTTTGCTCAGACTTCGCTTGTGCCCATGGCTCTTTGGCGATTCGCCGATGCCATTCAGGTCGGGTTGGTGATCCATACTGTTCTTCTTGCCGCCCCCGAGGAAACTCAAGCGCGTGCCCCGCGGCTGCTGCAGAGATACCCGGCGGCCAACAGAGGCTTCTTCTAGTTTCGTACCACCATTCGGGGAAACGACGGTTTGCCACCGAGGGCTCTGCTCTATCGAAGGAGAGGTGCCCCTGAAAACGGTCGAGGGAGTGGAAATCAATTCCTTCACAGGAGGCGGAGGCGCAAAAGTGAGGATTTCAGGAGCAAATGTGCACTCAAAGTGCCGAGCCAACTCATCGTGCCTGCTGGCAGCAAAAGGATCAGACTTGGTTCGTGCAAACAACGCCAAGCATCTCTTGAGCAACATGGCATGGTCAATGAGACCTGTTTTGATGGCCGCGTTGCTTGGGCTGAGCTCTTCCTCGTCTTCGTCCTCGTCCTCGTCCTCGTCCTCCTCATCTTCGCCATCTTCGTCGTCGCCCTTCGGCTCCGGAAGAAGCGTGCGGTAACAAGATACACTTTGATCAGAATTGGGGTTCACAGAAACTGCTACAGCATCCAAAAGAAGCTTCATGTTTTGCTCCTCGCCCTCCGAGATCCGGCGCTCCAGTGCAGCCATCTCCTGCGTCTTGCGCACAATTCGCTCCAGAGCAGTCTCATGGGCAGACAACTCGAGTTCGTTGACATCAATAATTTCACTCCGGCGAAGAATTGTCGGAAAAGGCTCCGCCGTTGTGAAAATCAGCTTCTGAGAATAATGTTCATGAACAGGCCCAGAAGTTGTACGCTTGGCCGTGATGGAGAACACTTGTGGGTGAGAGGAAAGCAAGAAGTCACGAACAACCTGAGGAACACGGGTTCGCTGGTAGATCTGGTGAGTTAGATCGCGGTGTGGCGTCACCACGGAGATGACCAAAAACTGTCCTTCGACTTCGTCGCCATCCTCCGCTGTGATGATTTTTGCAGACGGGTATTGTTCCTGCATCCTGTCTGTAAATGCTGCTGCGCGCTCGCCTGGAGAGCCTTCGTAGATGTATTGCTTGTCGCGAAGCGTAGCCGGAAAGCCGAGACCGCGATAAATAACTTTAAAGTATTTGGGGACAAGCTTTTCACTCTTCGAGATGGTTTCATAAATAGTGGCAATGGCGCGCTCAGCTCGTGCAAGCTTGGCAAAGTCGTAAATGTTGGTTTCGTACTGAGTCTGAAGCTCCTTGTAGGCTGTCAATGCGTTGCTCCAAGACTCGCCTTCCTCGAAATGCTTGATCATGTCAAAGTATATCCTTTCTTTGCGCTCAAAGTGTGTTTGGACCGGATACTCCGGATCAGCCATGGCAGGAGTTTCACGATTTGGATCCCAGTCGTAGAGCTCGGCATGCAATCGCAGTGCTAGACCAGCCTCGGCGTGATTGCGTGATTCGGCCTGCAAATTGGCTAGCTGGTGGACATATCGCACGAAGATTTCTTCCTTCTGCATATCTCGAAGGAACTCCATGAGTCGAAGGCGATTGATGATATCCGATGCGCCGCTTCCGTTGTCACCGCTGTGCACAGCAACCAAAAGATCCAAAAACTCATCCAACGTTCCAGTCAGGTCATGAAGAGCCTCCGTCAATGGCTCGTCTTCGTCTTCAGAAACGGTGACGAATCTCTCCATCAATTCCCCAAGAAAGAGCTTTTGCAAGACACTTTCCGTCAAAGGCTTCGTCTTGAAGTAAACGTCGAGGCAGTCGACCATCTCTGTTTGGATGACGGAGAGATCTTCGCTCAAAGTCCACTCGCTGACAATCATGGTTTGCAAGACTTCGACGGCCATCCTTCTCAGGCCCTCGTGAACACTCAAGCACAGCTCAACAATTGGGCCAACCAGACCCGGGACATACTGGACTTGATAACCCCCCATCTTGGCCAGCCCATACCTAGTGCGTTCTTCATTGCTCGCTTCCCATCCGATGGCCTCCCACGTTCTACGCAGAAGAGCAGCGCCATCCTCACGCACATCGCCGGCGATCTTCCAGACAGCTCGTCGCTTTTGCTCAGGGAAGGTTTCCAATGCAAGGGATGGGCTTCCGACGAGTTTCAGTAACGTCTCGAAGAACAGCCTCCACAGATCGGTGTTGAAGGTTTCGGCGTCATCAGGATGGGGTAGGAAAGACTCCAACAGAATTGTAGCCAAGTACTGGAGCGTGCGCATAGCAGACTTGTGATGATAGATGTGTACACTCAGCCAGCCTTCGGGGAACGCTTCGCCCTTCAAAATGCTCATCTGAACCTGGAGCACGTTCTCTAGCATGGTCTGAATGTTGCTATCCTCTAGCTCCAATTGCATTCCAACCGGTGAGCTTGAGATTGCTGACAGAATAGCAGACAGTTCAGCCAGAGCCTCATCAAATTCAACAGTGTGCGCAGTCGCCTTTGTCGGAAATGGGTATGATGAAGGGAACAGGAGCGACAGCTTCTTTCGCGCGGGTGGGGGCGATGCTAGAATTGACAGATAAGAGTCAATGACTCTAGGCGCATGGTCCGGAATTTCAGGACCAATGTAGTCGAGTTGGTTGGCAAGGATAGAGCAGCAAAGTCGGGTTTGGTTCCTCCACTGGTCAGTCATGTCCGGACAGTGGCCCCAATGAGGACTAATCCAGCGCACGGTATTCGCGCTCAGAGCAGATCTCTGGTCAGGGTGGCTGAAAATATCCAGCTTGGAGTAATTGATAATCAGAACAAGCTTGTACAGAGTCAACTTGCCCTTAACATCAGTGCAAGAGTCCATAAAGTCAATGGCAATATGAAGGATATCTTCGGCTGTGAGCATATCCGTGAGCTCGGGAAGCCACGTATGAAAGTGCTGCACAACTAGGGTCTGGCTACCGACCAGAACAGGGGCCGGGTTTCGCATCATTTCTTCAAGGGCTTTGAAGATTGACTTGAGTTGCTTCGTGAAACCCTGCGCCGAAGTCTTGATACCAATTCCTGCCTCCTTGGCTCGCTGCTGACTGCGCGCTTGTGTGATGAATTTGAGAATGTGCCTGACAATCTTGAAAGTAGATCTCAGCTTGCGAGCAGTCTCGGTTTCTGTCGGGTGTTGAAGCAGACGTGTAAGGGCACGGACAAGGCAAGAAGCCGCGAAGGGGTATTTAAACTGGTTCTCAGCGTATTGGTCAACCAAGGGAACCAGGTTGAAACGTCTGTCGTGCACAATTCCCAACACCCTGACCAAAGCCGTGAAGACAAGGTCCTCGTACTCATTGCTGCCAGAGTGCTCGACCAAAATGCCAAATAAGCTGTCAAGGATGTCGCCAAGCAGCTTCACAATCTCAATTTCAGGCACGAAATTGAGTTGACGCAAGACAGCGGTAAGGTCCTCTTGCGATAAGTCTCTCCACTTCATAAGGCCGAGAATCACGCGATCTTGTGAGAAACGCGTACTACACAGGAATGTGTCGATGAGGAGTAAGGCAAGCGGGCCCGTCACTTCAACCGACCGCTCATCCCTACCCCGTGGTGCCCAGACAGTGGAAAGATAGCCACCTTTGCCAGTCGGTCCTGCCTGTGCTGTCGAGGTATGCTCGTCTATCTTATAGAGCAGCAACCCGTGCGGTCCATCACGAATGAATGCTTCCCTCTCCCAAAGAGGTATGTGGGCGACAGCAAACGGGGGACTTGGCATGTCGCTCACAAACATGACCACATGGGCATTGGCGACGTCATCCGCGGGGAGTGATAGGCGTAGCGTTTGGTTCCATGTCTCCCCGCGCTCCGCAGCGACAGATTTGAAAGTAGTCAAGCCACTGCTATTTGAGGCGGGAAATATGCAGTTTTGGATTTTCGTTCCGGATCGATGCCGGACCTCGAGCGTCACTTGCAAATTTGAGGCCTGCATGCCAGGCGGCATGCTTGTGGCGCTTCCCCCGTATCTAGAGAGGAGATTTTGCTTTGCAAGGGCCGCAGTGTTGATAGTTAGGTAGATGTCCGATCTGGGCCGCGTTGGCGCACCAGAAAATCCGATTCTGCTAGTTTTCGACACACCAGACAATATTGTTGGCGTGGCTTTGATGAGCGCATCCGGGTCGGGGTGGTCAAAGGCCTTAAGTGAGACTTGCAGCCGTTCGCCTCGCCTCGCTCTCTCAAACGACTCTGATGGGCTTGCCATGATTTCCCGAATAATCGGATTCCACTCTTCACCCATTTCTTTGTCCGTCATAGGTCGTGTTGAGGGCGCCCAGATACTGATTACATGCTCAATCTCTTCATCCTGTTTCATGATAGAGTTCAATTTCGTAACGCCAATACCAACAGTACGTTGGGCCATTTGAACCTCTTCCGTCGCCATGCTGACTTGCGACCCGGCGGTGCTAGGAGGGCCTTGGGCATCCCGACTTGCTGTGCGGTTAGAATAAGGTCGGCCTCCTTGCTGCTCGTTGACGGCATCCGTCTTAGAAAAAGACGAGCCTCGCGAAAACGTAGACCTTGTGGATTTAGCTCCCCACATGAAGCTCCTCCTCGAGCTCTTTCCACTGCCAACTGGCAATGACTTGGTGTGTTCCCTGGTGTAGTAGTTGTCGCCTAAACTGCCTGATCTAGTCTGGGGCGATACCATTTCAACTCTTTGTGGAGATAGAACCTTGACGACGAGATAAAGATCTGATTCAGCGGCAGGGACGTCGCCGATATCGAGACTTGACAAATCGGTGAAGAGCGTTCTTGTAGCGCCGTCCTGCATGAGGCTACCAAGTGTGCGACCTGCAGGGACGTCGATACTAAAGGCTTCGGAGAGGTTTATCGGCTTGTCGTGGTGTGGCTTGCTGACGAGGTAGGCGACCAGGCAGGTTTCTTCTGTAGATGTTCCAGCAAAGCCTTTGACGTCTAAAAGCAGATGGTGTAGACTGGCAAGTTCGATTGTTGGCTTTGGAGGTTCGTCAAGAACGCTCATGGTCGACTGGAGCTCTGTGAGTGCGACGGCAGAGTCCTCGCCTGTCAAGATGCGCCCACGGGCCGCGGGGTCGCGCACAATGACTTCTCCACCGCAGAGCTTGTTTACCTGGACCAAATCCCATACTGTTCTTTCGCGAAGAGCCTCATACTCGCGCGATGTGAGGACATTGTAGAGAAACTGCTGGCGGTGCAGGTTGAGTTTGGTGATGAGTTGAGAGAGCTTATCGAGCTTGGAGTATTCTCTAGCGAGGAGAAGCTGGTGAAGATTCTTGGAGTGCCACTCGCGCAGGCATGAAGAAATTTCGTCTATTAGCGGCTCAGAGGCCAATGTGGGCGTTTCGTCGCCAATTTTGAGCATTGGTACGGGCGCTGGAGGACGTGGTAATGTTGGATCACGCTTTACGGGGACTGAGAGCTTCGCACTGGCGCCGAGAGGGAGTTGTTGCAACGGCGCCCGACGTTTGCGTGTGGACCTTGACTTGAGTTGTTTGTCCCCGTTCTCACCATCGCTGTCAAGTCCACCCTTGGCCGAGTCCTCAGACGCGGTCTCATCCTCCGTTGGTGCTTTGCTTTTGCGATTGATATGTTGGTCGTCGTGAGCGATCTGATCCTCGTCTTCATCTTCGCCGAGCAACTCTCGAACTTGGATGCAGCTGCGAGGAAAGATGCCGCTAAAGACTCTGGCCTCGAGGGTTTGTCCCTGCACCGAGGTGAGACCTGCAAGAAGGCTAGGAGGGGCAACGAGATAGCCCCTCAGCCAGTTGCCATCGGCAGTCTCTTCAATGATGTAGAGCTCATCGCCAATTTCGAGGGGGAGGTCGGCAGGGCGTTCGGCGGTGAAGGGAAAAGTTGCAACGGCAAAGGCGATGCGCGGGAGCGGATGCCAAGGCATGGCAAATGTTTTGGAGGGCGAAATTCGAGTGCGCGGCAACTGCGACAGAGTCGATTTGGGTCAATTGTTGTCAACGATGTTCAAACGGGATTGGACCTTGATCGCTGTATCTGAAGAAGCTGGCCAGCCCACGAAGACTGAGGTTGCTGGGGGCGGGGGAGTAACGCTAGCAACAACATGAAGCTCCGACAGCTAGCAAAATGCCAGAACGTGTTGTATCCTGCGGGCGATTGAAGGGCATGAATGTCGAGGGCAGGATCGGAGAAAAAAATGAAGTTAGTAAAAGAAGCATTCGCAGCTGGGGGGAGAACGTGGGAGGGCAGAAAGTCCTCGGGGTTGGTTGGGGGGTCTTCTCGCGCACACCCCTGAGCGAAGTGCGAAATGGGAAAGTGAAAGCTCGGTGCGGCTGTAAGTTGTTGTACCTGCGTGCCCACCTAATAAGCTAACGTTGGGCGGTACCGGAGCTAGCAGGCTACCTACTGTAGGTACCTACAATGTGCCGTGTTAGGCATCTACTCTACGGCAGGTTGTTAGAAAAAGCAAGTGACGATATCCAAATTGCCTAAACCATGCTTAAACGGGAAACTTGAGAACGGCATGTAGCGTTGTCTTGGAACTACTGCACACGCGACGCGGAAGGGCATAAATCTCTGGGACTGTGCTGTAGAATTCCTTGATCTGGTACTTACATGAGACGGCAGGTCGTAGGTACTAACCTTAATGCCTTCTGAAAGATGTATGTAATAAATAAATAAATAACTACTGCCTTCGGGGTCTATGCATTAGGTTTCTCTGTACAACTCCTAAGATATGAGAAATAGTGCTACTAACGTGCCTATACCTTCGCTACGTACGCATGAGCCGCATCACAACTGCCTATCAATAATTCGTACAGCTGAAGCGTTTGCCGCTAGATGGCGCCAGCGGGGTCCTACAATGGATGGAAATCGAAACGGGGGATGGAGGATACCTGGAACCACGGCCCATGCAGCAGCAGACAGGGGATAGCGTGGGTGGCCGACCTGGTAGGGACGGCACCGCACGGATGTTAAGTTAAATCGTCGGATGAGTAAAAGCAGTCATCCGTGCCTAATAAACCCCCTTATTGTTCACATGTCCCAATTCCTCGGAGCAAATTCCCCTAAAGGTACGTACTTTGTAAGTGGCAGACACCTACAATGTATGTATGTATGTACATATGTATGTACATACTGTACATAGGTAATTTATTGTGCGGTCCGTCCCCCCACTCAACCCGCTGGTTCACAGAAATCTTGATAGCAATACTTTGCAGATTCAGAATCGCACAATAATCGCACAATGTAACCAGAAGGTATAACACAATACCTTTGTGAAGTCCCGTGAAACCAGCGGTGCGACCGCGTCGCGAGGAGCCCCCAAATTTACCGCAAAAACTGCCTGCCACACTGCTGCATCACTGCAACCCTCACTTTCAATCTGAACCATCCGCCCCTCCTCATTCTCCGGCAATGCGTTACCTTGCGGATACATGCTGCACAAGCCCTTACCCATCATTTGGATGCAACTTGACCCTCCCTGCAAGTTGATATAGTCAACAGGACTATCCAGATATGTATACGGATTACTTAGAATCGTAATGTGATCCAAGACAACCGGGGTAGCTGCTGATGCGCGTCACCTATTACGTAGGTTAAGGAATTATAGGGTACGCAATGCTTGCCCACCATCGTAGCGAGGCGGCGCAGCCGTAGCAATAGATCAAGCCTTGAGATTCTGCCCCCCTCCCCAAACAATAGACAACTGTTATTCACAACTTAGTCGGTTTCAACCTGTTCTATCGAGACGCCCGCAACTCTCACCGCCTCACGCTGCAAACAGGACAAAGCTCAACCGCACCACCTGGTCCCGCGCAAACTGGCCGCCATCGCGCTGTACTTGGCGGGTCTCTGACTCAACGTCATCTTAAGACAACTCATTGCCCTTCTTGACACAAACAGCACCACCTTTCCTCATACCCCCTTTAGGGCCTGCCATTGTCCACGCTGTGCATAACTTCAACTTGGTATAACTAGAACTGGTTTACATACAAGTACCGCCCTTGTAGTCAACAAAATCCTCGAGCCGCCCCCTATCTCCCGGCATCCCTCCCTCCCGCTGCCTCCATAACCAACATCAAACCGCCGCTCAAACGAGCGAAGCCCACTTCTCCGCCACATAGCCATGGGAACGCCCTTCATCTCGCTCGTCGAGCCTAGCAAGCTCGAGGGCTACCAGCCGGGCGCCCCGCGCCAGGATCAACCCGCCGGCATCGCATCCACCTTCCTCGACGCCATGGAGGTCCGCGAGGACGTCTTCGTCCACGAACAGGGCGTCCCCGCTGCCAACGAGTTCGACGCCGACGACTCGCGCTGCTGCCACTGGGTCGCCTACGCCAGCGTCCATACCACCCAGGAGCCCGAGGTCCGCGACGACGACGGCGCCGTCGTCCAGCCGCGCAAGAGCTCGACGCGCAGCACCCCCATCGGCACCGTCCGCCTCGTGCCCTTCCCACACGGGCCTCATCCCGTCATCGGCGGCCGGTACTGGAACAACGTCCTCGAGGGCGAGCCCGAGCCCGACCAGACTGCCGCGGATGTGGCACCTACTTTCGCGGTGGACCGGCCAACCACACACCACGATGGTCGAGAGTCGTACGTCAAGCTCGGCCGGCTCGCTGTCCAAAAAGGGTTTCGCGGTAACAAGATTGCCGGCCTGTTGGTCAACACGGTCCTGCAGTGGCTCAAGGAGAACCCCTCGTTCTTTGACCCCAGCATCACCGAGCTTGGCCTCGAGCAGATGGGTGCCCGACGAGAAACTGACATTCCATCATGGGGCGGTTTGGTATGTGTCCATGCGCAAAAGCAAGTTCAGCCCTTTTGGGAGCGTTGCGGATTTAAGATTGATGAAGGCATGGGGTCCTGGTGGGAAGAGGGCATACTTCACGTTGGCATGTTCCAGCGCTTATCTATTGGCGAGAAGAAGATGCGAATCTACTGATGAATGATCACCCGGCTGGTTCTGAAATTTATAGAGCTTATGATTTGACATGACCTGAATGAGGGCAGATATAGAATTCTGCGAGAGCTTACTCACTTTTTTTCTGCCCAGCGACCTAATAGACTACCATTCTTCTTGATACAATCAGATCTAGTTTGACCTAGTAATTTGCTGCGCTGGTAGAGAATAACCAGTACGATAGAAGCTGGTATTGAAAGGCATCGTGCAAGTCGACCAATGCGTACGGCAGAGATACACCGCGCAACACGATGGACATAGCTTGGGCATAGAACATATCTGTTGAGATTAAAACAACGCTAAGTGACCCGAGTATTGCTCACAACACGTAACACTCGGTGGGCAATGGCTGCATCCAGAATGTCGTTATACAAAGATGGAATAATGACAGCCATTTACAGAGCCACCACGGCTCCGAGCGAGATTGTAGAATATGGTATGACGATTCATTAGGTCAATGGGCTTCATCAGAGCCCAGTTTTATTGAGGCTAAAGACATCTTAATAACAATCTATAGCCGCGTTCCCAGACCCGAAACGCAAAAATGCAATTCTGTAATTTGCCAGAACCACGCCAAAGCCGCACTCCAACCAGCCGTAAATCCATTTTTTCGTTTTCGAAACCCTCTATCGGTTGCTCTTGGCCACACGCTCCAGCTCGTCCTTCTTCTTGATCGCGTACGAGTTGCTGCTGCCCTTGGCGGCGTTGATCAGCTCCTCAGCCAGGCACTCGGCGATGGACTTGACGTTGCGGAAAGCGGCCTCGCGGGCGCCGGTGGTGAGGAGGGCGATGGCCTGGTTGACTCTGCGGAGGGGAGAAACATCGACGGCCTGGCGGCGGACGGTACCGGCGGAACCAATACGGGTAGAGTCTTCGCGGGGACCGCAGTTGACAATGGCGTCAACAGCGACCTGGATGGGGTTCTGGTCGGTCATGAGGTGGATCTAACATCGAAAAGTCCTTGGTTAGCGAACTCGTCCATAATTCTTGTCCATGGCTTCCACGTCGGGTTCAATTCACTACGCATGGCGCATCGTTCGTCTCGTAGTCTTTCGGGCGCTGGCGTGTTGCGAACTGTTGTTTTGTCGTGTGGAGCAGGGCTTTGTTGGGGGTGGTCGTCACTCACGATCTCGAAGGCGTGGTCGACAATGCGGACGGCCATGAGCTTCTTGCCGTTGTTGCGGCCGTGCATCATCAGAGAGTTGGTGAGACGCTCAATGATGGGGCAGCTGGCCTTGCGGAAGCGCTTGGCAGCATACTTGCCGGCGGAGTGGGTGACATAGACGGGCTTGCTAAGGTAGATGTAATCGCTATCGTTCAATTCGTTAGAATACTCGTTCCAAATAGCATTTCCACGGCAAGGACGAGGAGGACGTCGCTCGAACACGCTCTCCTCCCCAATTCCTTGCCCTCGCGCGCCCAGGGATAAACGTACGTCAGAGAGATGTCGCGAACCTCGACATCGTAGTCCCACTTGTTGAACAACTTGACGTTGCCAACCTCCTTGGCGACGTCCTTGGGGAGGACGCTGGGGAGAACGTCGATATCACCGCCCTCAGACATTTTGAATATAGCAGTCGATGGTTCCGTGGATGGCGGCGAACTGCGGTTAGTATGGTCGGTTGTCGTGATGGGATTTTTCGTAAAGTTGGAGGTCTGGCTCGGCTGAGGAGGGTTTGGCAAATTTTGGTGGGTGCTGTGTGGGCCAATCATGTGTCGCGAATAATTGGGTGCACCCTACACGCCACCATTGTTAGGGCAAGCCTGCCCTGCCAGCACTGGTGACGGTGCGGGACCCATCGCCAAAGTGGTAAGTCGACTTCGCAGCGTTGGCAAAAATCCGTCTTCCTCCACACTCCGTCAACGTCAAATCACATCACATCAAAATGGTACGCCCTCGCCCGCCTACGATGACGCTCTCGCCGAAACGAACTGCATAACCAGAGACCAAGGAACTAACCGTCGATTTTTTCACGTTGTAGGCGCCTGCTGCTGGAGCTAAGAAGCAAAAGAAGAAGTGGTCGAAGGGCAAGGTCAAGGACAAGGCCCAGCACGCCGTCATCCTCGACAAGACCACCTCGGAGAAGCTCTACAAGGATGTCCAGTCCTACCGCCTTGTTACCGTCGCCGTGCTCGTCGACCGCATGAAGATCAACGGCTCGCTGGCCCGCCGCTGCATCGCCGAGCTCGAGGAGAAGGGCATGATCAAGCCCGTCACTACACACAGCAAGATGAAGATCTACAGTATGCGACTCCCTCTAATTCTTCTCGGCGAGTGCGACACGAACACAGCGCTAATTATTGTTGACAGCCCGTGCCATTGCTGCTTAAGCGAATTTCGATCAAGGTGTTTTCTGGAAGTTTGGCGTCAATATGGCCTAAATGATATATGGCCGAGGGATGGGGAAAAGATACAAGGCAAACAATTGCCTGGTTGGGACGCTTTCTATACTCGGTTAAGCATACCTAGAAACCGAATTTGCATGAGCAAACGGCAACGGAACGAAATAAAAAAAATTCTTCATGACAACTGCTGAGGATGTTATGCACCGTGACGACTTCGAGCGCTGAGGGACGAATGCCACAAAGGTCTTGCCGGGCAATTGAACAGCTCCAACGCACGTACTTGGACGACCAATGACCTTGAGTATGCCAGTCTGGTGCCGTTTCTTGGCCCAAGAATCTTTCGGGTTGCAACCTGAGTATATGGTCAACGGGTCCATATATGCAACTCAGCATATATATCACCCAGGGCGTCCCCAATCTTGGTATGCAATTGACGGGTACCTCAAATGAGACGAGTTTCTACACATGATACTGCATCCCCGTGGCAGCGACCAGAGCATATCTATGAGATCACGTGACAGCACACGTGACCTATACAGGACTTGGTACGATACCGAATGTTAGCTGTCCCAAGACTGGAATTACTGGAGTAATGGTCATCCATACAACTTGATATCATTGTGCTACTAATTTGCGCCAGGAAGCACGGAGCCGTATTGTTACTACTACCAGGCATGTGATGGCTGGCGGCTTATCGGCCAGGCCGGCTCGTGAACAGGAGGATAGTAGGGACATGAAATTCCGTCTTCATTAGTAGAATCGGCCACTGCATTCTTTATTAACATATGTTGCAAGCCCGTACGACAAAGAAATAATCAAAAGCGACTGCAATGTTGGACGCTTGCTTTGGGATGCACGTCCTGAGTTGTGGTCCAAGCCAGCGGCATGATGCGGCAGAGACCAGCTAGGGGCGGTCGGCTAGCCGGGATATTGGCGGGATTGAAACAAACGGCCGGGCTCTGATGGATACAGGGGAAAGTAGGTACTAATAATGGGAAAACGCTGCGTTGCAATTGGCCGTTCGGTATCTGACGATGGCTGCGCCCTTTAAACCAGATTACCATGCCTGCCTGCTTCTGTTGCCTCCGGCTTTGCCTGCGGCTTTGGAGAGGCCAACTCAGCGGAAGAGCGTTGCGCTTGCCTTCTGGAATTTGATTAGCGGCTTTCTCGGGTGAAAGGGGGCTGCAGGGGAATGGCGCAAGACAGGGGCTTGCGACTTGGCTCGGCGCAACCGCTGTCTGGTGGGCCCCGGACAGAAAAAAAGAGATGGGCGATGTGACTGAGGCATGCAGCCTCATGTACCTCCGATGTGGCGCAGCGTCGATGTAGGTTCTAGGTGAGAAAATTACGATACAAAATGTCAGGATTGTGAAAAGCAACACGGCTCTCTTTACACTACTTGCGCAAATGCTATATCTTTGTAACGGGTGCCCCATGCAGCAACTACATCAAGTGGGTGCGAGTTATATTGCTCGAGGACATGAGGAGCTGTTGTCATGGGAATGATAAAAAGTGAGAGGTGATTGAGATATGGGCTATATCGTGGCTCGGCTTATTACCAGGTATTGACAATGGTCTTACTTCGTGGAAAAGCGAGATCTAGGTATTTCTAGCCAGGCAAACACTGACCGAGGCTCATGCTGGCTTACCTATGTACATATATACCTATGTAGGTACCTTGTCAGCTGTGGCCGAACAGGTTCCCAGCTACGTACGGGGTACTAAAGCTAAAGTGCGTATTACTATTCATAGACGTCTTGAAAGAGCATGGCGGGAGAGGCTGGCAAGCGGACCGACTGGGAAATAATGGGAATGTGTATCTGAGGAAAAAAGATCTTGGTAACAGGCAAACGGGGAACATCCGTACAAATGTTTCTCAACTTCACGGCAGCTCCGGGGGGTTGAGAGATTCAGATGCCAGTCAAGTACCTGGTGGCAGGGCGACCAGGCAAAAAGAACATCGGGGCGAACCGGCAACTCTGTCCCCCTTGGCAAGGCACCAAGGAGACGGCGTGGACCTTGAGGATGCTAGGCGCTGTTGGCCTCAGACCTCCCCTTCTGGCCTCAGGCGCAAACTCCACTGTTGCCATGGAAAGTCCCTGAGAGACGCTCAGCAGCTGGCTCTAGCGCTGGCCCGGAAAGACTCGCTCCCAAGAAAACTTGTCCCTTTCGCTGGACCCGCAGCAATTTTTTTTCGCTCCCCCCAACCCTGCCACCCGGCCAGCAGAGTAGAATTTATTTCGCTCGACTTCCCCAGACACACTTCTCTTCCTTTCTCCATCCCCAAATCTCCCCTCAGTCTTTTCTTGTTTTTTTCCGGGAAAGCACCTGAACATCTATCAACATGTCTCAAGAGAAGCCTAAGGTCCTGGGCATGCCCGTAAGTTTCTACCGTCTTCTTCGCTGTGTTGCCGGAAATGCCGCGTTATGCCGTTGTCATGAAGTCAGAGGGGGGAGGTGGCCATCGAAGCCGCAGCAATTGCGAGTACCAATTGAGTTGCGCTGCAACGCCAATGCCTCTCATGAGATGACTGTGCTTCCTATGGACACCTCAGTGCCCTTCTTATGACAACCGGCGTAACGCGACAAATTTTTCATGGCCTCCAGCTACTCGCTCGGTTACCCCTGGACACGCGTGCTAACTCGCCTCGCAGCCCTTCGTTGCCGACTTCCTGAGTACGTTTCATCCGCTGTCAACCTAGCTCGCCACTTGTCATCAATCGAAGCAATAAAACATGTCACCTGGACCAAATACTAACATCTTCTTCAGTGGGTGGTGTCTCCGCCGCCGTCTCGAAGACTGCTGCTGCCCCCATCGAGCGTGTCAAGCTCCTCATCCAGAACCAGGTCAGTGACATCCATCCACAACACAGCTCCGCTGTAGTGGTCTAACCTTTTGAAACAGGATGAGATGATCAAGTCTGGCCGTCTCGACCGCCGCTACAACGGTATCGTTGAGTGCTTCCGTCGTACCGCTGCTGATGAGGGTATTCTCTCTCTGTGGCGTGGTAACACTGCCAACGTCATCCGTTACTTCCCTACCCAGGCCCTGAACTTCGCTTTCCGTGATAAGTTCAAGAAGATGTTCGGCTTCAAGAAGGACCGTGATGGCTACGCCTGGTGGATGGCCGGTAACCTTGCCTCCGGTGGTGCTGCTGGTGCCACCTCTATGCTTTTCGTCTACTCCCTTGACTACGCCCGTACCCGTCTGGCCAACGATGCCAAGAACGCCTCCAAGGGTGGTGAGCGCCAGTTCAACGGTCTCATTGACGTCTACCGCAAGACCCTCGCCTCCGACGGTATTGCCGGTCTCTACCGTGGTTTCATGCCCTCTGTCGCCGGTATTGTTGTCTACCGTGGTCTCTACTTCGGCATGTACGACTCCCTCAAGCCCGTCCTTCTCACCGGTACCCTCGAGGACAACTTCCTCGCCTCCTTCCTCCTCGGTTGGGGTGTCACCACCGGTGCCGGTATCGCTGCCTACCCTCTTGACACCATCCGTCGTCGCATGATGATGACCTCTGGTGAGGCCGTCAAGTACAAGAACTCCTTCGATGCTGCCCGCCAGATCATTGCTGCCAACGGTGTCAAGTCGCTCTTCAACGGTGCTGGTGCCAACATTCTCCGTGGTGTTGCCGGTGCCGGTGTCCTGTCCATCTACGACAAGCTCCAGGTCCTCATGTTCGGCAAGGCCTTCAAGGGCGGCTCTGGCTAAATGCCATGCTCCCTATTACCACTGTATAGACACTGTTTTTAGTTGGGAAAGGATCACTCGGGGATTTAAAATGGAGAGATGGGAAGTTTGACGGTGAGGGAAGTTGGGGTAGATACCCTGACACTCTGTCATGTGCCACAGCTGATGCGCGGATTAGATTGGCATTGGCATGGCGCAATTCTCTTTTATGGCTCTGCCAAGGACTTTCTAGTCGCTGTAATTTATACACCTACGCAATTTCCCTTGTTGTTAGATTATCTGAACTTTGGTTCCTAATACTTGCCGATTCTATCTTTTGTGATCTCATTCTCATCTCTGCACTCACTTGTAGGCTTCGATGCCGTTTGTCGTTGATTGATGACTAACGGAAGTTCCACCACGACGCGGTGCACAGCGCCCGTCGTTCTCGCTTTGCAATTAGAACTTTGTAACCTTTTCAAGAGCAATCGACGCTTTATAAAAAATGCCACCCAAGCCGACCAGTGGTGCCCGCAGTCGCTCACAAGCTGGCAGCAGCAGGCAAGCGGCCGAGGACTTGAGCGACGCCGCCTCCAGCGACCCGTTCGATACCGGCGACGACTCGCCGCCCCGCCACCGCCCTCAGGGCGCGAGCCGCGACGCGAGCAGCGGCGCCGCGGTAGGGGACTCGGCCGCCGACAAGTCGATCCCCAAGGACTTACTCACGCGCATCCTGCACGACCTGTTCGAGAAGGACGCGACGCGAGTCTCACGCGACGCCAACGCCGCCGTGGGCAAGTACGTGGACGTTTTTGTGCGCGAGGCGATTGCACGCTCGGCGGTGGAGAAGCGTTCGGGTTTTCTTGAGGTATGTGCTCTCTCACGTCTGCTAAATGGGGATGGAAATAGTGTTTAACTGACCTGAATGCTATGAATAGGTGGAGGATTTGGAAAAGATTGCGCCGCAGCTCCTGCTAGATCTCTAAGTTGGCGTTTTGGCACAATCCTACAGATTTGTTGTCATGGACGCGCTTCAAGATGGTACAGAATGGCCGCCACTTCCAGGCGCCCTCACCCCAGAGCGCGGGTAAAGATAAGGAGCAATGCCCCGGAGCCTGGCGCATCGAGCTGGCACCAGGTCATCTGAGGAGACAGCCGGGAGCTCAAAACATGCCTGTGAGGCATTGTCAACACGAATATGGTTGACGGAGGGGCGGCATCATCGCCATGGACCGCTCGTTTGGTAAGCGGTTGCTAGGTTTGAGTGGAAACAAGTCCGGTCAGGTCAACCAGAACCTGGCCTTGGAAACCGATCTCCGTTGCTGGGGCCCGTCGTTTTACTCGTGAGAGCAAGAACGCATAACTCTTCAGCCCCCAAAGAAACATAGCATGACGCGGAAAGCAATGGCACTCACAAATTGCGAGCCTTCCCAAGGAGTATTCGATATTTTCATGCAGCCTTGCAGACAAATACCTGCATCCAATGGGTAGGTATGAACCAATATATGTACGCGAAATATAAAGATACCAAAGCCATTTCCTCGCCCATTCGCGTTTATTTAGTATGCTGAGTTTTAGATTAGCCATAGTGTGACGCCTGCCACTTCGCGTGGCGAGATGGGATCAGATGACAAGGAGCCAATGAACGCTTCGATTACCTTTTTTGCCACAAAATACGGTCACTGCCTAGGAAAAGAAATTGCCGTCATAGCCGCCAGCAAGAGTATAAGTCAAGCGGCCATGTTGCCCCCCGTCGGTGGTCCTCGAGCCGGACTGCAAGTACGGAGCTGTGGGGCCGGGTCTGAAACAGGCCCTGTCTCGTCGGCGTCGTAGAATGGCCAAGGTGCGGCATGGCCAGTGACAGACTTGTGCACGCGAAAGTGCAGCTAAAAAAGAGCGATAGCGTGTTCTGTCCGTCCCAAGAAAAAATTTCCAACTGTCAGCTTTTTCCAAGCCATTGTCGTTGCTGTTCCGCGCAGGCTGCTCAAGTCGACTTCGGCTGTTGGGCCAACAACAGTCTCCGCACCGAGCTGCACCATTTGAGTGATTCCTTGGGAGCCAGTTTTCTCTTTTCTCCGCAATGAGTAAAGATTATATTTTAAGTGAATACGTAATTGTCCTGAAAACTCACCGATCGAGATGACTGACGGATGTAACTAAATTGAAGGAGACACCTGCCACGGTTTGAGCATAACCTCTGACAAGACCTCTTACGCCGCCAACCCCGGGACGAGGGCTTCCCACGCCGACAATGGACGAACGAAGACGCCAGGCCTGGTTTCGGGTGTCCCAATTAGCCCGTTTGGGAAGATACAGATCCAGGGCAAGCGCCACGCAAGATGGATGAGACGATATTCGTCCCCCATCCCCCCACGCTTCTTCCGCGTAGCCAGTTGGGCCAAGTTGTTGGGCAGAGGACTCTCGGAAGACGGCATGCATTGACATTACTGGTTGGTTTCCCTTTTCCCCTGCCTCTTGGCAAGCCAAAGAAAGACTCTGCAGAGAAACAATGAGATGTGCAGGCCGCCAAGGGGACAAGATGTGGTGGCTGATCACTCCTGTTTCGACTAACAAGTCGCCTTTGCCCGGATGGCTGGTTGTGAATCTAGTTCGTTACAGCCCAGATGCTTTGCCTCTGGGCTCCCTCTGGAACTGTCCCCTGCCTTTTTGCAAGAATTTGCATTTATGTTAGCTATCTCTCCCCTTCCTCTTCCTCTTCCTCTTGTCCCTTGTTTCATTATTTCTCTCTTTCCTTCTCAGCTCGTTCTTCTTTTCCTTTCTTGCACAGGCTAGTTCCTTTGTGCGTGCGGTTTTCTCTCTCATTGTCTGTTGGTCATTGGTCCTCTCTATCCCTTTACGTCGGTCGCACGTTCTCTCGCTCGCTTGGCAGCTCTGGCAGCTCTGCTCACCGTCCGGTCTTTTTACGTCTCGTCTAATCCATCGTATCTTACCGCCTCCTCAATACACATCCAGTCATCATGAAGTTCACACTCGCCTCCGTCGCGGCCCTAATGGGTGCTGCCCAAGGTACGCATCCGATGTCGATGGGACAATGCCACAGCGACACACGTTCTAACAGAATCGTACGCAGCCATCAACGTCCAGGTCGTCTCTGTCGGCCGCAACCCCGTCAACAACGCCACTGGTCTGAAGTTCTGGCCGGATAACATCAAGGCGACGGCCGGCAGCATGGTTCAGTTCCAGTTCCTTGCCGGAAACCACACCATCACCCAGTCTGATTTCGACCACCCGTGCAAGCCCATCAACGAGGTTAATCCCAGCGTCCAGGGCATCTTCTCATCATTCCAGCCCGCCGCCGCCAGTGCAGCCAAGGGGGAGTTTCCCACCTATACTATCATGGTCAACGACACCAAGCCCATGTGGTTCTTCTGCAGCCAAGGCCCGCACTGCGAAAAGGGTATGGTCATGGTCATCAACGAGAAGTAAGTCCTTTGTCCTTCCCACTCTCAGACTGTCTCACAGAGTGTTATTCTAACGACCCGCTGCAGCACCGGCGCCAACTCTTCGCGATCTCTTGCGAACTACAAGAAACTAGCGGCCGAGGCCACTCCGGAAGGCGGCGCGACGCAGGGCGGCACTCCGTCTTCCGAGTCTTCCACTGGTGCCACTCCTCAGGGCGCTGCTTCGGCCACACCCTCGACGGCTGGCGCTTCCATTACCGGCGTTTCCAGCTCGATGCTACTTGCTCTTGGTGCAGTCTTTATGCTCCTATAGGAGACTAAAAGCCGTGTGTGATAGCGTCGTGTATATGAATGGGTTAATGATATCGAGCGGGGCCGGCAGGTACTGGAAATTGGTTAATATTCGGGGCTTTCTGTGTACAACGCAGAGCAATCAGTTTGCATCACTTGTTTTATTCTTGGTAACGGTTTTAGCAGTGTTGACCTGTAAAGGTGGCAGAAATGAATATTTGATTACATTACTGTTGGTCACGAGGAACCCTCTTCTTGCGTTTTTCCTGGGCGGATTTACAGAGCGGAGGAACAGTGAGCTTCTCTAGCCAACCTTCCTCGCGCTTCACGTAGCCAACTTTTTGATACTTGGGGCTGTTAGTAAAAAAGTCGACCCAGTGCTTCAGGCCGCTGTGCACTCTTTCTTTGGCTTCTGCCAGCTCCTGCTCTTTGAGCTGCTTCATCTCGGCTGTGGTCCACTTGGAGTCGATTTCGGGGTCGTCAATAGGAAGATACATTTCTTCGAGACCGCGCATATCGGGGGTCAAGTCTTCCTCAAAGCAGCCGCTAACGTAGGCGCGCGACGCATCACGGCCGACAAAGAAGTGATATGAGCCGCCGATGCCATACATGTGCAAGCCGCTCGAGACGTCGAAGATGGTGCCATTGACAGCGAGGTACAGGGGTTTGCCCTTTTCATAGCCATTGTATTGGGAAAGCTCGTCCGGGGTAAGATAGATAGGTCCAGCCTGAATAAACGCGGCTGGGTTAGCGTTCTGGGGGGATTCTGACCACGACCGCTCTGTAGGAGTTGCATACAAACTTGGCTTTCCACCACTCAGGCTTCAGGTAGTTCGGTTTATTCTGCATGCCCCAAAAGAAGCTCTCGCCAGAGCTGATGACATAGCTGAGGCCACACGAAGCAACGAACAAGAAAGTCAACACCCGTAAAATATCAAGGCGGAGCGAACTTGAGTCGTAATCTTCTTCGTCTGTGGTGCGACGCTTTGTGCTCTGCTTTGTCTGGCCATCGTCGCCCTTGGCCTTGCGCTGGCGGAGCTCGCTGTCGGCCATGATAGATTGTTTGATGTGGGTTTTCAGGAGCCAGGTTCGTCCAATATCGTTCGTGGGATGCAATAAATACAGAAACTGGACGCTCCCGCAGCCAAGGCAACGGGAAGAACGAGGCCCGAGGGTGATCGATGCGATGCAAGTCTTAGTCTCCAATTTCCCGATCTAAAACGGGTATGAGTAGCGGGCGGCAACAACGGGAGATGACGCCGGCCCGCCACAGAAAACCACAATCCCTGGTGGCATCACATGACCCTCCCGTCACCACAGCAACGGCGGCCCAAGGTGGCCCCAGTTTGCCTTACCAACGTTTTGGGTCAGGAACCACAGTAAACAGACTTCTGGAATATCAACGCACAAAAGATCAACGACCTACCCAGCAATTTTGCGACCAATTCACGACCACCAGCTTCGGTGAGATAGATGTGGGGTAGACTTCTAGTTGAGAAGTTGTTGTTTCGACAAATACAAACACCAACACCACCGGAGAACACTCACGTTCACGATGGACGAAAGCGTGACCTCTACACCGACAGGGCCGCTCAGCCCACTTCAGACCTCGACACCAGACGGCGTCAATCAACGCCGCGAGGCCCATATGACACCATTTAAGGCCGATGGCTACGACAGCCCAGTGCTAGAAAAAATCAGCCAATTTAACAATATGTCCGGACAATCCAGGCAGCTGGAACGCAGAACAAACGACGCGTTGAAGAGAGCTGTTCTCGGACGCGAAGAGGCTGAAATGGAAATGAAGCGTATGAGGGAGGAAATTGAACAGCTGCATGCAGCCGTTGAGCAGGGCAAAGAACGAGAACGCAAAGTTGGGGAGCGTCTGGAAACCGTCATGGTAAGGGCAAAACAGGTATTGGATGCGCAACACAGCTAACAGCTGCACAGGACAGCTACGGCCGTGCGAAGGAGACACATGCGCATACCCAAGCCCTCTGGGAGAAGGAAATTCGACGAGCGAGAAAAGAAAACTTCAAGTCCCAATCAACGATCGTCAAGCTGCAGGAGGAGCTGAAGACGGCACGCACAGCAGCCAAAATCAACGAAGAGTGCCTAGAGCGCGAAAAAGAGCGCAGTCACACACGAGAACAAGAGGCCTTCACTGCCCGCTACCAGATAGTAGGCGTCCAGGAACAGCTCGACAAGGCCCTTGAACGAGTCAAGGTGGTCGAGCAGGAGCGTGATGCGTACAAGACTGCCGCCAAGAACGAGGAGGTTGCACGCATCGCTGCCGAAGGCCGGCTCCCTCTTCCCTTAGCTGACGAAATAGACGAGCTGGCGTCACCAAAGAAAAAGGTCCAGAAGAAGCGCAAGCGTGATTCTGCCAAGGATGGAGGTCGTGTTTCTCTGTCTGCTATGGACTTGGTTGGCTCTGCTGCTACGGAAATTGAAATCGAAGAGCTTTCGCTGCAAGTTGCTTGGGAGAAGCATAGAGCTGAGAGAGCCCAGGAAATGGTTGAATTTCTACAAGCCGAATGCCAAATGCACTCTTGTCGTGGCGCTAGAGAGACTCGCGAAATTTGCCACGCCACGCCACAAAACACTATCGAGCCGGTAGAGTCGACTACACCTGCGGAGCGCATTACTATAGCCGTTCCGGATACCAGCGAAGATACCACCATTACTATCGATTACTTAACCAAGGAGAGGTCTTCGGCTAAGTCTGTAGAGCCTGCAGAGCTTGCCCAGCCCGTTGTCTACGAGCCTGAGCCCATGGCTGACGTTGAGATGACGCCTGAGAGACAGGAGATTCAGCAGCAAAGCACAACCCCCGCAACCGAAGAACGACATGAAGTTATGGACGAAGATGAGCCAAAGGAGGAGCTTGAGGACGACACTGAAATGCTACCGGAACACATTCTCTCAGCTGAATACCACGGCCCAACCATCGAGGCGCCAGCCATGGAAGAGCTCCAGCAGCTGCCGGAACCCGCCCCGGAGCCAGTAGAAGAGTTTGAGTCAATGGTGGAGGAGCGCAAGCTAGATGCTGAAAATGCCGCTGACGAGGCCATGGCGCCATCTGCCGATGCCGTTCCGGAGCTTGAGCCGGAGCCTTTTGTTGGTCACCAAAACGAGAGCCATCACGAATCTGACGGCGAAGAGCGCCGCGAGTCACTCCCTGACCCCGAGTCTCTTGATGAACATCATTTAATTATTATCAAGCCGAGGAAGGAACGAACCAGCACCATTTTCTGCCCTAAGGAGGGTGTTTTCCGCACAGTTTCGGAACAGGAAGCCGAAGCCGCAGCTCTGGAGGAGCGTTTCCAGCCGAAGCCTGTTGAGGAAGAGATGGAGGATAGTCTCGATATTATCCTTCCCGATGCGATGGAAGAGGCGAGAAGCCCCCGTCTATATGCCAGGACTCCGTCGGTTGAGCCGCCGGCATGCGCCATTATGTCGAGAGATTGTTTCACCAGAGACCGCACTTCTCTTCAGTCTCTGCTGAGCGCCCCGCATAGCGAGGTGGAGTCATCGATTCCCAAGACATTCAATATCCCAACTGTGGAGGATTACGAGTCCAGGACCGAGATCGCAGTTGACGATGTTGCTGAGGAAGCCGTTGTAGACGAGGATGAGTATGAAGCGCGCCTGGCGCCTGGCTCCCCTACGCCTACAATGTACTCGTCCACGAGTCGTTTTAAAGTTACAACAACAACCGTTCCTGTGCGCGATGAATCGTCTCAGCACAGTTCTTCGTTCAACGAGAAGCTTCGGACCCCCTCGGCGAGCAGCAGTGCGAGCTTTGATCTCACCGACCCAGCTCTCACGCCAACTATGACGCGTGAACAAGCGCTTGCCAAGATTCGAGAGCGAAGAGGGCGCGCGCGAAGCATTGCCCAGGCGACTGCGGTACCACCTAAGAAGCTAGCACCGACCAGCGCGAAACGCGACATCAGCTCGTCCTCGGCCAAGGCCCCTCTCAGCAAGACAACTCCGAGAACCATCTCAAAAACCACTGCGACGACTGCGACACGGGCCAGGCCTGCACCCAAGCCAGCAACCAAGCCAATCAGCAGGCCAACAAGCAGGGCGGCAAGCAGGGCCCCTAGCCGAACCACGACTAGCAGCCGGACCACGAGCCGGACACGATAAAGCATGGCAAGGAGTTATATCCACTAGCGAGTACTCTTTTGATGTTTTTGTTTCGTTGTTTGGGTTTCATCCTGGAGCGATTTTTTTTGGGGGCCTCCAGTAATGACTGCATCTGGAGATGATACGTATATATGTGTTTGAGCCGAAGGCTGTATATTGGCATTCATTATGAAGATTTGGGATGCTCGGCGTTGCATGGAGTTACTGCATTTGTTTCCTTGGGCTATTGCGTGCGTTGTTGTTGTTTCTTTTCTTTTTTTGGTTGTTTTCTCTTTCTCTGTCACATTGGATAATAATAATATTGATCTCGATGTGGTCTCATCATGGCTGTCTTTATTTTCAAGCAGATCAATGTGACGCGTGGTGTCTCTGCTTACCAGGTCAGGATATAAGACGGGTTAGCTGCGGCACCCTTGCTGAGTGCAGCAACAGCCGCCCCCCGGAAAGGTCCCCACAATGCAGATGCCAGGCACGAGAAACCAAACCCGAGGTCCTCCGCAATCTTGTGGACGGCTTCAATCTATCTACCAACCCGAATCCAATTCGTCGCCCACGGCGCAACATCTCTGGGCATCCACTCCTTTCATTGCATTTGCTTTCCGCCCATTGCGTCCACTCGATCATCTGTACTCTGCGAATTTCTCCATTCGCTGGGGCTCTGTCAATCGCCAAGAGCCCCCCCTCCTCCCGGGCACGGTTTTTCTTCGACACAACGCGCGCGACCGTATTCGAAACAATCTTGCACAAAGCTCGGCGCCATGGGTGGAAATTCGCGAAGCAATGGTGCGTCGCACGAGAACGGCGATGTTCCTGACGCTGGGCTGAGAAGCTTGGATCATTGTGAGTCCTCCCCCTTGATACCCAGTAGGTGATGTATGCGGAGCAGTAAACATGTCCTAACACAGGTGTCGCAAACTAGACAAGAGGGCTCTTCCACCGTGGCGGTACCGACTTCGACAACAGGCACTGCCCTTGATCCGCTGGGAGACGCCGTACCTGGCGTGGATGCAGGAGAGGCTGCGCACGCCCGCACTCGACAGCTACTTTGCCATCACGGCGAACCTGGGCACTCACACCTTCTTCATGGTCTTTCTGCCCATGTGCTTCTGGTGCGGGCAGGCCTGGTTCGGGAAAGGGTAAGAAATGGGCGGCGGTGTTGTCTGCGAGCGCGATTGGAACAGAAAAAACATGTCGGGAAAAAAGGCATAATACTGACTGGGTTTGGACAGGCTCGTGCACATCCTGGCCCTGGGCGTCTTCTGGACAGGCTTCGTCAAGGACTTTTACTCGTTGCCGCGACCGCTCTCTCCGCCGCTCCACCGCATCACCATGTCCGGATCGGCCGCACTCGAGTACGGCTTCCCGTCGACGCACAGCGCCAACGCGGTCTCGGTCGCCGTGTACGGACTGCTGATCCTCAAGAGCCCCGAAAACTCCCTGCCACCCGCCGCGAAGCTGTCCTTGGAGTGCCTTTCCTACTTTTATGCCGCGTCCATCGTCTTTGGGCGGCTGTACTGCGGTATGCACGGGTTCCTTGACGTCCTCGTCGGGTCCGTAATCGGCGTGGCTATTGGCATGCTCGAGTTCTACTACGGCCCGGCGTTTGACGCGTACATGCACGCGAGCTCCTGGGTCGCGCCCGCGGTGGCTTGCCTGGTCATTGTCATCCTCGTGCGCATCCACCCGGAGCCCGCGGACGACTGCCCCTGCTTCGACGACAGCGTCGCGTTCGCGGGCGTCGTCATCGGCCTCGAGTTCGGGTCCTGGACGTACGGCAAGATCCCCTGGGATCCGTGGGTGGCCAACGCGTACGCCGGAAACGGCACCGTCGACGTCACCCCCCTCGGCTGGGGCCTCAACGTCGTCCGCATCGTCTTCGGCGTGCTCATCGTCTTCGCCTGGCGCGAGACGATGAAGCCGCTACTCCTCAAGGGCCTCCCGCACCTGTTCCGCCTCATCGAGTCGTGCGGGTTCACGCTGCCGCGGCGCTTCTTCACGCCGGCCAGCGAGTACAAGTCGGTGCCTTCCGGCTCTCGCATCGACACACTCTTCCCGACCGCGTCCGACTTCCCGCGCATTGTGGCGGGCATCCGCCACCCGACGACGCGCGGCCGCTCCGTGTCCATCGGCCCGCAGAGCGCGGCGGACGCGTACGAGACGCTGGCGTACCGCGAGCGCCAGCGCCGCGAGAGCATCGGCAGCAACCACAGCCTGCGGAGCCGGTCGACGGGCAACCCGGACGCCGGCGGGTCGGAAGACCAGGCCGGCAGGGCGCTGGCGTCGGGCGCGCAGAAGCCGCCGTCGAGGACGGAGTACGAGAAAATGATTGCGGGCAACGAGGCTGTCTTGACGCCAGCGGATGAGCCTACGGAGCAGCAGAGCCGGGCGGTCGACGAGAAGGAAGTCTTTGCGCTGCTCGTCAAGCCGCGTGTACGGTACGATGTCGAGGTTGTAACAAAATTAATTGTCTACACAGGTGAGTCTCCGTACAACCCCCGGCCGAACCCCATGGTCTTTTTAGGGCTACTTTGCTAATTCGCGTCAGGAATTGCTTGGTTTGCCGTTGCATTGATTCCGATTATTTTCGAGGTGGTTGGACTCGGCACGAATCATTTATAGACGCATTAAACAAGTCAAAAGAGCACATACCTTTCCACAGCATTAGATAATTATGCGGTACATATGAGGCTGGATCACGGCGTTAATGATGATGAACGTTAAGCACCATGCTCGAAGCAAGGTGCACAGTAATGAAAACCCCATTCATATTGTAATCATACAAGACGTTCAATAACTTGGCGTGGCATGTGAGCGAAGCCATTTTTAGCAAGCTGGGCGGCCCAAACAACGCCAGCCTGATAAGTAGCTTATTAAATAGACTTGGGCACCTAAAAGAAGGGCAATAGCCGATTGAATAACTGGGAATGAAGAAAAGACCAAGCAGCCATAAAACAAAAAGAAACCATGACAAAGAAACAAAGCCTGGAAGAGACTGAGTTGAGCTTGAATACTCATATAGGGCCATATAGGGTAGCTACTTGGGTCTCAGGCTGCCATGTGGAGGGCAGTTTAATGGATTCACGTCGCCAGCGCGTGACGGCCCGTCTTCCCGACCGCATCTCAAACCATCGATTTTCTACGCAGCGCAGAGACTGCTGCAACGGCAGCCCAGCACCATCCAATCGCAACCGAAAATATCCATCCAGAAGATCGAGAGACATAATAGAGAAATAGAGACAGACAGCCGGCACAATGTCCGACTTTGAAGACGCAATGGACGTCGACTCGGCCCCCACCGTGAGCAACGACGCCCTCTTCTCCGCCGATGCTAGCAAAGGCAAGCGAAGCACGGCGGCCAACCTGCCGGTCGAGGCCGAAGATACGCTACCATGGTAAGCAACCCGCGGCATCCTCGTCACCAAACCTCTCCCAGCTAAATAGTTCCTGCTCCCTCTGCTTGCAGGATCGAAAAGTACCGACCGGAATCCCTCGACGACGTCGAGGGCCACCAGGACATCCTCGCCACCATCAACAAGTTCGTCGACGCCAACCGTCTACCACACCTGCTCCTCTACGGCCCGCCCGGCACCGGGAAGACGTCGACCATCCTGGCCCTCGCGCGGCGCATCTACGGCGCCGCCCACGTGCGCCAGATGGTGCTCGAGCTCAACGCCTCGGACGACCGCGGCATCGACGTGGTGCGCGAGCAGATCAAGACGTTTGCGAGCACCAAGCAAATATTTGGCATGGGCGGCGGGAATCGGACAGGCGGCAACGGCAGCGGGATGGCGGGCTTCAAACTGATCATCCTGGACGAGGCTGACGCCATGACCAACACGGCGCAGATGGCGCTGCGCCGCATCATGGAAAAGTACACGGCCAACGCGCGCTTCTGCATCATCGCCAACTATGCGCACAAGCTCAGCCCGGCGCTGCTGAGTCGCTGCACGCGTTTCCGCTTCAGCCCGCTCAAGGAGGCGGACATCCGGCAGCTGGTGGTCAAGATCGTGGACGAGGAGGGCGTGCGCATCGGCGCCGAGGCCGTCGACGCGCTCGTCAAGCTGAGCAAGGGCGACATGCGCCGCGCCCTGAACGTGCTGCAAGCATGCCACGCGTCTAGTAAGTTTCGGGACCCCCCCCCCTCTTGCCGTATTCTCTGCTAACGCTCCAACCTCACAGGCACGCCCCTGCGAGCGCCCGGCGCGCCCAAGGTCCCCGACGCCGAGGTCCAGCGCGAGACCATCACCACCGAGACCATCTACACCTGCATCGCGGCGCCCGCGCCCGAGGCGGTGCAGCAGATCCTGTCGACGCTGCTCAGCACCGCCGACGTCACCAGCTGCCTCAACACGGTGCACTCGATCAAGCGCCTGCAGGGGCTGGCGCTCGCCGACGTGGTCACCGCGCTGGCCGAGGAGCTCGCCAAGCTGGACGTGCCGCCCGAGGTCACCATCGCGTGGCTCGACGGGCTCGCCGAGATTGAGCACCGCGTGGCGGGCGGCGCCAGCGAGGTCCTCCAGACGGGCGCGGTGGTCGGCGTGGTGCGCGCGGGCGTGGAGCTGATGGGCAACAAACCGATCAAGACGTGACGGAGGGAGGACTGTGTATAAAAAGAGAGCAAGCATGGCATGAACAATAAACATTACGACGAATAAAAAATGGTAAAATTTAAAACAAGTACATTGCTCATGTAGTGACATCAAGTCTGGGTATCATGGAGACGAGCCAACTCGTCAAAGCTCATCATCGTCATCGTCGTCCATCAAAAATATGGACACCCTCTTACTTTCACCCTCGGACTTGACGTTGGTCATCTTGACATCTTCTGGTTCCGTCTTTGCACGAGATTCATGCTTGACGTCGGCGAGATCTAGCTTGGCCTCGTCCTTGACATCGCTCTTGATCTCGCTCCTGACTTCTTCGTCTTTGATCTCGTTCTTGATTTCATCTTTGATCCCGTCCTTGGTCTCATCTTTGACCTCATGCTTGACATCATCCGCGCCTTCGCTCTTGACTTCATGTTTGACCTCACGCTTGACTTCGTCTGTAGTCTCGTCCTTTACCTCGTCGTAGATCTCGTCCTTGACCTCGTATTTTAGCTCGTCCTTAACCTCGTCCTTGGCTTCTCGCTTCACGGACTCTTGTTTGACATCCTCAGCCTTGACGTCTACACTCGGCAGGATTGGCCCGTCATCCAGCTCCCGCTTCCCGACCTCCTCGCCCCCCCCTTCCCTGACCAACCCACTCTGGGCCTCCCGTGTAATCTTTTCCTGGCGCCGCTTGTAAAACGTGTCCAAGCAGTTGCGCCGCTCCTCCTGCGTCCACCCCTCCACGACGAGCGCAAAATCCTGCGCGGTCGCGAAGCCAAACTCGCGCGCCATCTCACAAAACTGCCGCAGCTGCACGTCCTCAGGCGGGTTGTACATTCTGTGTAGCGCGTCCAGGTCTTGGATCCCGTCTTGGCTGCCCGCGAACAGGGCATTCTGACCTTGCGCGTCGTCGGCCCACGAGGCCATGGCGGCGTGCCGTGAGATCTGCTCCTCAATCTTGGAGGTGCCGACGACCTCGGCGTTGTCGTGCGTGTATTCAACCCCCGCCGATGCGAGAATGGCCTGGATGGCATCGCTCTTACGCGGTGTCACCTTCCGGCCATCCGGCTTTGGCTTCCGGTCCTCAGCTGTGAGGAGAGCCGCGAGCTGGCCAACGCCGTTGTCGTCGTCACCATTCTCGGCTTTTACGGGGACAAGACCGTCCTCGTCTTTTGCTGCCTGGCCCATGTCTACTTCTGCCAGCGTTACACCGACTTTCGCTTCCGCAATATTCGTCTTGTTGACAATGTCACGTAGTAGGCCGCTATCACTGTGAAACGTGAAAATGTTGGACAGACCAAAGATTTCGCCCTTACGATCTGCATCTTGCTGGACGCCACGGAAGTAGCGACGCTCTGATGACGCAGTATAGCCAATATTAGCCTGCTGCTGCTTGTAGACTTGGCGCGCGTAGACAATTTCTTCAACGGTGCCGAGTGAAATCAGCCGGAATACCTCGACATCACGAGTTTGACCGATGCGATACGCCCTGTCCTGTGCCTGAAGATCGTACGAGGGATTCCAATGCGGGTCAACAATGACAACTTTGTTGGCCGACGTAATGTTGAGGCCAACACCACCTGCCCTTGTCGAGATGAGGAATACAAATTGCGTCGGATCGGAGTTGAAGGTGTCGACAACTTCCTGTCTCTGCTCGTAGCTCAAGCTGCCGTCTAGATAGCTCACTGTATAGCTCGTGTTGGTGAAGAGGTGCTGCAAGATACGTAATAAACGAACGCTGTGGGAGAAGACAAGCACTTTATCACCATTGCTGTGCCAAAACTTGAGAAGCTTCTTCATAACTTTCCATTTCCCGCAAAACTCGGGGTTCACCAGATTACCAATCTGGTCGCGCTGCGCATAGAGCGTCTGCCATCTGTCTGGCATGCAAATCTTGAGCGTGTTGAGCTCGGAACTTTGCTTGCCCTCGAGGTCAGTCGCCGACGGCACGAGGAGCGTCATGTGGTTGGAGAGTTTCTGCAAGGACATCATGCTGGGGAACACGGCGCTCTGCCAGGTCCGGCCGTCGCTGAGGTATCGCCCGCAGCACCAGCCCAGCTTCTTGTCATGCTGGCATGTCTCGGAAATGTTACGTATGACAGAGACATCGTCACTTTCGAGGAAGTTGTCGTATGCTTGCTTTTGAAGGTCGGTCAACGGACAGAAGACGACACGATCCGTCTTCTTGGGCAGTTGGTCGGCGATGAGACTCTTCATTCGCCGTAGAAAATAGCGTGGGAGTAAATTGGTAACGAGCTTCTGGGCTGTCTGTCTTGCGAGACTCAGCTGGGCCAAGGTAGCTTCGTGGGATTGGCCGACGGCCAGCGGCTTGCTGATTGTTTGGCTCCATTCTGCCCTGGTGCCGAAATTGCCTGGGTTGGTCCAGTCCAACAGCGTCCAAAGCTCCTCGTATTTGTTTTGAATGGCCGTGCCGGTGAGCCCAATGCGACATAATGCGTTGATTTCGTTCATGGCTTTGGTGGTTTCAGAATTGTGTCCCTTGAGTTTGTGGCATTCATCTGCTATAACGGCGTCCCACTGGACCATGTTAACAGCACTACGACTGTTTTTGTATGTGTCATAGGTGGTGATCATGATTTCAGACATGCCCGCTCTCATTGTGCCGAGAATATCATCCTTGTTCGGCCCATGGTAGATCTCGGCATGCCACCAACCCCAACGATCCAACTCATTCTTCCAGTTTATGAGGAGCGACCCGGGGCATATGATCAAAATGCGAGGATACCATCGATCAGTGCTGCACCATCGTATTTGCCGCATCCTTCGATTATCTCGCTCGTCGCCAGTTTTGCCAAACGCGGCGGTCAAGAAGGCGACTACCTGCACCGTTTTGCCGAGGCCCATGTCGTCACCGAGAACGCCACCCTCCTGATAAACAAACTTGCGATGGAGAAATTTGACGCCTTCAATCTGGTAGTCGCGCAGATACTGAGCGATTGACGCCGGGATAAGGCCTGCTGATTGTGGCAGCTCAATGACCTCGTACGCGCGAACGGGGCGAATGCCGCTACTAGCCGGGAAGACAGGGCGCTCGTTGAAGTTTTTGATGCCATTCTTGTCACCAAGATCTATGCTGGTGTAGTCTGGTGGAAGCATGAGTGCGGCCTCATGATGTTTCTTCCTGTCCGTGTCAAATTGCTGTCGTCGCTCAATCAAATAGTCGGGCAATTCGGGCTGCCAGTCATCGTCGAGGACGACATCGTCGGCATCAGTCGCTGGCCTCCCAGCACCGGTGCTTCTTCTTTTCGGCGCCGACTTTCTCTTTGCGCGCTTCTTCTTGGGCTTTGCCACTGGTACAGAATCGGATTCGTCGGTCCATTCCACCTTTTCGGAAAAGGAAGGCTCAGCCTTTCGTTTTCGCTCTTCTTCTTTAATATCAATATCTGATTTCAAATTGCTTCCCAAGTCGTCATCGTCACTATCCAGTATGACAATGGGTGTTGCGCTGGTGGCCGGGGCCATATTCGCTGGTGTGCATACTTGATGGATGTGTGGGTTTGTCAGTGGGATGAATTGGTCGACGCGTGTGTGAAGCGCGTTAAGTGAAATGGCTGAGGAGCGTCGACACGTGATAAAGGAGGTTTAGGCAACATCGCACTATGATTGTAGAATGGGCAACTTTAATCATCGCTTTGTAATCCGTAGTGTTGAAACTTTAATGCCTCTAGCCTATTTTCTTGACATTGTATCTGCCCATGGTTTCGAGGTTCGTGCAGTGCAGTACATTTCCAGCCTGGGATTAATTGAACTTGTAAGCTGCCTCAAGTCCAAGTGACATCGCATATTCAGAGGCCCACCTTGTGAAGTATTCGTTCTTTAATTTATCAGAATATTTTACATGGCTCATCACTTCCTGATCATTCGATGCGTAGCGCAGTTTTGTCGCCGGCGCGGCCTCCGATTCTGGTGGCCCCCCAAGCTCCGCCAAGCTCCGCGCTACGGCCACAGCGGCAGCTTGCCAGCGGCCCTTCTATTTTAAACTACCTGCGAAAGCTGAAACTGCACCGACCAACAAAATGCCCTTCCATCGACAATGAAGCCATACATCTACCCCTAGATGCTCAAATACTCTCACCAATCGAGATACATCCAACAATCCTGTCCTGATACCCTACGCATCCCCTAGCGCTCCGCGCCGTCGTGAGCAGACCATGGCTTCCTCAACCCCAGCCGCTACGAGCGACAGCGGCCAGACCGAGCAGACAATTCACAAGATACCCGACATCCTTCCTCGCGAGCGCGTATTTCCTATCCAGATAGGCGGCGAGCTCTTCAAGCTCTCCGGCGCTTCCATCTCATCCGACGGTGGGTAGGAGTCGAAGCGCATTGCGTTGGGTGATTGCCCACAAGCAACCTGCGGCTAATATGACCCTTGGGGGACAGCCCCCTCCTACTTCTCGCAGTATTTCTTGTGCCAAATCAAAACGGCAGAGAAAAAGGGGCAAGATATATCTTCCAGTATCCGCACCCTGTACATCGACCGCGATCCTGTCACCTTTGGCGACATAGCCCTGCACTTGCAAGGCTACCATCTCCAGCCCCGCGATGGCACCCATTTCGTGCGCCTCTTTGCTGATGCCCAGTTCTACAACTGTAGGTCATCAGACTGACGCCTGATGAGTGCATTCAGCTGACCGCGCATGCTACCAGTACCGAAGCTCATGTCCCAGCTGTATGAGGAAAGCATCTTCATTTCGATCGGGCACCGCGAGTTCCAAATTCCACGCGACGTTCTTACCGACCCTGGCAACTCTCCCAACTACTTTTCCCTGGGCTTCGGTCTGATGTTCGCCCGACGCGACGAAGTATTTCCTGGTCTCGATCGCGAAGGGCTGATACGACCGCCCTCTATCCTACCCCCAAGTGTTTCGAACCGAAGCGCGGATACCTTTGCAGAGCTGCTGCATCTTCTACACGGATATCCCGTGAATATACGGGACGAGACCCATCGCGACGAACTGCTGCGCGACGCGCGATACTTCCATTTCAAGGGCCTCGAACAGAAGCTGATTCCCCACTCCATCAGCTTCAACTCACTCAGGGAGCGCAACGAAATCGTTTTGCGACTGGAAAATGTGCAGAAAAGCGGAGTTTACATCGTTCACGACCGAGCCGAAGAGATGATTGGGGAAGGTGGTATGGCTGAGTTTGACGAGTCCCTGCCCGGCTGGATCAACTATGCGCGACCATATGTCGATGACACCCCGGCCGAGCTTGTCCTTGAAATCGGAGGCGAGAAAACTCGTCTTCATTTTACGAGCAATGGCCCGCGGGCCGAATTCTTTGGCGACACGCGAACCAGAGTGTCCAAGCTCTTCGAGGTCATTGCGACGAAGCTCGGCCTGCCCCCGACGACGCAGCCCCTGGGCCTCCTCATGGCATCCGGCGGGGCCCGATCACTGCCGGCGGCGCCCGGTAACACGCCTCTGAGCGAGGACCTTGTCAAAGTCAAACTTGGGCCCGAAGCTGCCGTTACACTGGACGGACAAGACTACACATACACTCACCCGCCTTCGGCCGACAACGCCGACTCCGTGACCATGAACTCACGCAAACGCCGGCGCGGGGACGCCGCTGCCTCGGATGAACAGCAGGAGGGGGAACAGTGGACTATAAAGCGTGGGCAATGGAGGCTGCGCATTCAGCGCAGCACGCATGGAAAGAGCAATTTTGAGTGCGCAATGGAGGCGGTGTGCTTGGATGCCTTTAGCTCTGAGCTGGGGCGGAATAAGAGGAGGGGTTTTTTGAGCGGCTAGATTCGAACATGAAGCAACGTTGACATTTTGGGAGCTTAGGTTTTCTTTAATTTTGAAATTGGAATTACGCATTGTACATATACGTACTATCATACGTACTATGAATATTGTATCATTTAATTGCAAATTCTTTTGTTTGTGGAACGTCGATTGGCTGCACTCTGCAATCCTGAAAGATGCCATTGCCTCGCCAAATAAGCCACCCTCAACACCCAACGCCTCTCATTCTTTCTTTGCTTAGTCCTCTCCCCCTACTTCTTAAGGATACCCATGACCCATGGAATCACCTCGTATCCGGTCTCGTCCTCCGGATGGCCTACGTTGACCTCGGAGAACGGCCCCGCAGCTAGGATGTTCTCGAGCGTAGAGCGACAGAGTGTGCAGCCGCCCATGACCAAGCCGTGGAAGAATCCGACATACCCTAGAAGATGAATGGATGAGAAATTTACGATGCCCGGAAATTCGACGAGAGTACCTACTCTGATAAAGACTCAGCAGAGGGCCGCCGCGCGTAGCCTTGACGTGCTCATGGATGTACCAGCGACCACCAGGCTTGAGAAGCTTGTACAGATATTGAATGTTCTTTTCCTGATCGGGGATGCTGCAAAGGCAGCAGATGCAGACAATGCAGTCGAGGCTACCCTCTGGGATCTCGCCGGCCCAGGCCGTGGGGTCGGTCACCTGCTCGATGCCGACGGGGACGACCTCGTAGATGCCGTCGAGCCCGAGCTTCGTGACGCGCTTTCGGAGCGACGCCGCAGAAATCTCGTTGGGCTCGACGCCGTAAATCTTGGTGACGATCCCACCGCCGTTGGGCTCGTCCGCTTTGCGCTTGCGCAGGTTAGCGGCAGGCCCGTCGGAGGCGGCGGCGGCGGGGGTGAAGCCGGCCAGGACATCCATCCACATGCCGCTGCCGGCGCCAATCTCCATGATGACGCCGGAGACGGGCTCGTAGACGGGCTCGTCGACGATGCGGCCGTCGCGGACGCGGCCCTGGAGGACGGGGACGACGCGCGGCTTGAAGTCCTCCTTGATGCTGGGGCCGACGGTGCCCCAGAAGCGGCCAAAGGCCTCGGCGAGGAACTCGGAGGGGGAGAGCAGCTTGGCGTACTGGCCGGAGGAGAGGATGGAGAGGAAGGCCTGGGGGAAGTGGGCCACGGCCGTGGCGATGAAGATCCACGGCCCGATCATCTTCATGGCGAAGTCGCCCGCGTCCGCTGCGAGACCCATGATGGAAGCAACGGAGTGACGGACGGCGATGGAGAGGGGCAGTGGTGATGTATTGCTGTAGAAGTAAGTCTTAGACAGGCGGGCGGTGGGTGGTGACTTGGTGAAGGGGGGGGATCACTTATAGAAGAGAGATATGGACCAGATTGTCAGCTGGGAGACGATGTGCGTGTGAAAAGAGGAGAGCTCTAGGAATGTGAATCGCAGAGTTTGGGAATGGCTTGAGAGGCGTACGAAGGCGACGAGCTCCCTTTTATATCAGTGCCCGGATTGGGTGTGTGGCTAACACATGAAGGAGGGCGCGGCACAAGAAGAGCCTGAAGAGGAGGCATGGCAGGACAGCTCCAAACTAAGTGCTCTTTATTAGGGTAGTAAATGTTTAGCAGTAGAGCAGAGCCCGGAGCGGAGCTGGAGCTGGGCGGCGGTAGCCTCGGGGATGTGGGGTGTAAAAAGTGGTGCTGGACAAGTTGCACCCCCCTCTAGGTCTGTTTGCCCAGCTTTGAAGAAGCACACAAATAACAGGTTGTATGAGGATCGATAAAAAATCAAAATTATCTTTCAGTCAGTACATGGTACCTTGTTGGCGAGGGTTGGTTGCTGAATTTTGTATGGCGTGTGGTTGCCCAACATGCAGGCTCCCGTCTCCTCCTCGTCGTCCGGAGGGGGTTGCGCTCTTGCCCGCACAGCTGCCGAAAAAGGCACCAGACAAAGTTCCCAAAAAACAATGCACCGGTTCCAGAATACTGACTAATTCACTTCAACAACCTTGGGGACCCCCCGTGGTGGTATTGGGGGCCCGGTGTGCGTGTTGGAATGAACCCCAGCTGACACGCGCCCACACCCAGATGGAAGGAGACCCTCCGAAGCAGCATGGCCAACGCGGTGCCGCGCATGCCCACCTGCGAAGCCTCCCAGTCCCAACACCAATAAAACAGAGACATTGAGCCCTCTCTACGCAAGCTTGAATTGCTATGCCCACGCCCCCTGCAGTCACGTCGCCGGCGCGGTCTTCTTCGGACCCGGGCACACTGTTTTTGCCGTCCTTGCGAAAATTGTGCGCTGACGATCCTCTTTGTCATGAATTGCCTTGACTTCTTGAAATGTATAGAGTAGAGCAGCTTCGTAAGGCTGTGCCTGCCTGCCTGCCTGACTGCAAGCGTCCCTCGTTGACGCTGCTCCCCCGCCACCATCGTTCCTTTTTAAAGTCCTGATTGACACCGAAACGCCCTGGAAATGCTGGAAGCCGACCCAAACAGGCGACAACACAAACACAAAATAACATTGAAAGCCCCTGACGCCAACCCAAAGCCCTCCTCTCGCCCGTACTCGTCCCCCCCCTTCCGGCGCCGCCCCCTCACAGCAGCTCAAAGTCGTCCAGCTGGTCGCGGTACTTCATGATGTTGCGCTTGATCTTGCTGCCGACCGACCACGTCACAAAGTCCTCGGTCGAGCGCGTCACCAGGTACGCCGGGTCCGTCACCGTATCGACGCCCACGCGCACGTGGCCCTGCTCGATCATCTTGGTCGCCGCCTGCACCGTCTCCGCCATGCGCAGCCGCGTCATGACCACCGGCAGCCGCCGCCGCGCGAACGCGCTCACCGTCGCCCCGCGCTCCACCGACGACAGCTTTGACGCCGACGACAGCACGCCCATGTCGTACAGCTTGTTGAGCAGTAGCTCCTCGTGCTTGCGCCGCACGGCGTTGTCGGGCGGCAGGAGGGACAGTCGATGCGAGAGTTGGCGGAGGGACTGGACGCGAAAAGGTCAGCAAACATGTGGTCTGAGAACAAGGTGCGGGTACTTTTCTCTTCTTTTTGGGGGGAATAGGCACAGCAACGTACGCCGCAGATGCGATTATATTTGTGATAGTCTTCGGGCTTCTGGATGTTGTATCGGCGGACGACTTCCTTATCGCGGTGTCCATTATCCTGCTTGTAGGTGATGAAATCCGTCTTACGCAGGAGCTTTTGCTCGTGATACTTGAGTTTTCGCACCATCTTGGCGATTCGGCTGATGTGTCGTGGGCTATCTGGAGGAATTGCAAAGGCGAAATCTCGAGTTGAAAGTTAGTACCTGGAAAAAAATACTGTGGGGCTTCACCGATGGGACGGAGGACTGGCCGCCAACCCGCCGATGTATTGGAGATAACGCCGAGGATGCGCAACTTTCAGGTATCTCTGCAGAGTGGAATCTTGACGAGAAAATTTTAAATTTGAAACCGAGAAGCGAGTACTACTTTCTTAAGTTCCTCAAGTAGCGCTTCTCAAGTAAAATAATGCTCATAGCACATTCTATTCGCACGTGTCATGCCTATGAAACACCAACGTCGCTTAAACAAGGCATGGTGTTTAGGGCGCTTTTTTATGACAGTTGCGAAGTATTCTTCTTGCAATTAGGTTGCAATAACATTTTGAATTCTTCCTCTCCGTTTTGTCGTGTCTCTATGTTATTTCATCTCACCATGGGTAGCTTTACAGGTACAAGTTCTATGTGGGTCTGATGTTCGCACCTAATTGGCCAGTATCCTGACCTGCAAAGTTCCCATCGAAAATCCTCCGTGGTCAACCAGCATTGAGCGTGCCACTTGCTGCTTCAATTTTAACCTTGACCATATTTGAGCGGTACGATAAGATGGTGATGCGACTACCAGGGTTGAGCGCTATGCGCGCCCCTTCAACACCTGCCGTTTCGTTCCTCCGCCAATTCTCGTCCACGGCCGCTGCGGCGCACCCCCCGCGGGAAACTCACCCACCTGTCCGAACGTCGACGCCATCATCCACGAGCAGACTCCAATCTATCAACAAGGACCGCATGTCCGTCGGCGGAGCCAATTCCCGAAGCCCTGGCGCCAGCTCTATGCACCGCATCGGCCAAGCCTACAGGGAGCGCGCGGCTGCAAGCCTCCACATGAAGCAGGAGCAGATCGACTTCCTCAAGAACAAGAAGCTATCCAACGAATACCTCCGGCAGATGCCTCGCCGATGGGTCCCGGGAGATGTCTACTCGCCGCACGACCTGAGCCCTCGCGAGATGGACAAGTGGCGCCGAAGGAACCAGCGTGAGGCTGACGTGGTAGACATCCTTGGCCTTCGCCCATTGGACATGTACAAGGTATGATCACTGACCGCAAGGATGCTGGGTTTTGGCTAACGGGTGATGCAGAACTTTTCTCTTATCCAAGAATTCACGACCAGCTCTGGACAGATCAAGCACTCCAAGGATACTGCTTTGCGGCCCGTCAACCAGCGTAAGGTTGCCAAGATGATTCGCAGAATTCAAGGCATGGGCCTCTACCCGACCATCCACGACCACCCCGAGCTTATTCGCTCGGATTTCTACCCCTCTGAGCAACGTCGAGGTTAAGCTCTGCGCGGGACATCACTCTGCGGGATGAGCTCGCATGGCGCAACTGTATATTAAGGCAGGGGGACCAAGTACCCAATTTTCTTTGTCGATGAACCTAGCATATCCATGTACTATAGCATGTTTGAGCGTCGCGAAGAGCTCTCCAATGATACAATATTTTGAACAAATAGACAAACCCAAACCAATTGCACCCACAGCGATCCGAGCGGCGCCGGGCCTCATTCCGCTCCCTGTTCAGTGCGTCCGTTGAGAGGACCAAGAAATGTTCATGAAATCAAGTTGAAGAACATCTATCTAATAATTATGGCCTTTCAACTTGAATTTGATGAAATCACATATGCAAATGGCATTCTGCGCCGGCGAAACCGCGGCTAATCGCAGTTCGCCCCTGTAGCTCCACAAGAATTGTGGTGATGTCTGCAAGCTTCCGGGTTTGAAGCCGCTCTAGCTGATCATGCTTTGTATCATATCCTGCAATTGGTAGGCTCATTACGATGCTATTGTCAGTTTGTGGCTTCTATATATGCGACTAATTGCCCAGTTCGGGTGTACTGACCCATATACTACAGAATAACCCCCGACGCGTCATAAAATCTCCCACCCAGTACATGATGAGGGCGAACTTGGCCCGCCATGGGCGGCGCCTCCTGGCTTATCGCACAAGAGTGCCATCATGCTCTCTCCTAAGCCATTCGCCTTCTGCGAGACGGCTACCACAGTCTGCGCCGACAGTGTGCCCGCGATTCGAGCGCTCGTTTTTCAACGTCCTCTTCAAGAAGCCACCCCGCGACATTCGACAGCCCGAGTACGAGCCCGGATGGATGCAAATCATGGTCTGGCGCAGCCGCATGCTCGACAACCTGCGGCCGCAGCCCCGACGCGAGCTCATGGAGGCTTGGCGCCGCCTCATGCAGGCCAAGCTCAAGTCGCGCGTGCCGCTCAACAGCACACAGGCGCTGCAGTGCCGACGCCTGCTCGACTACCTCTCCGACCAGCGCATAAGCCTCCAGGAGGATCACAACGTCAAGCCCCTGTCTTCGGCCGACCTCGCCATGGCGCGCCAGGTGCTCCTCGAGCTCGAGCCGAGCGAGACGACGCAACACCATGTCGACTTTGCGCGCGCGCTGTACAAGGCGTGGATGGACGGCGACTTTGCACACAAGCCCCGTGCGGTGGAACTGCAATGGACATATCTCGTCAAGGCGCTGTCATTGTACGGCTGCGGAGTGGAGGCCAAGGGGTTACTCTACGAGAAGTGGGACATGCCAGAGTACGCCGTCTACCTTACCCAGGACGACCAATTACTGGAGACTGTTGCGCAGGCCCTTGCCAGAGAAGGCAAGGAAGCTGAGCTGTTGGAGCTGGTTTACCACGCGCAAGCCCGTGGAATTGCTCTCGATGCTAGCCTGCAATCGGTCATTGTACAATACTTTGCCGGCCGCGACCGAATCGAGGAAACAAAGGCCTGGTTCACGAAGCGCATCGAACAACCGCAGTGCCATCGAGATACGTACCGCGCTGTTGCTTCTTTCGCGAGGCGTAACAAGCTACAAGAATGGGCGATGCCCTTCTTCATAGAACTGGGCGAGGCTACACCCAGGAAACAATATTGGGATGTCCTACTGCAGTCGATTTTGCTGATGGGCCGGAGCCCTTCGCAGGTGGGCACCATGATGGACCACATGGTCGACCGCGGCGGTGATATCAAACCTACTATTAACACAATCAACGGCCTCCTTTCGGTAGCCGTCGAGCTTAAAGATTATCAGCTGGGGCAGGACGTGCTGCAGCTTGGCAACGAAAAGGGCATCAAGATGAACGGCGAAAGCTATATGCACATGATGCGCCTGTGCATCGAAGCCAAGGACTTTGACCGTGCGCAAAGTGCCTACGAGCAAGTCAAATACCTTGAACCCTGGGGCAGCGACTCCAAATCAGACCTACAGTCCCAATTTGGGCGGCTTGTGAACCACTACCTCGTCATACTTACCAAGCAAACGCCCCCCAACTTCCCCCTCCTTCTCTCTATCATTGATTCGGTCGAGGAGCTTGGTCTCCGCCTCGAACCCGCCACCGTTGCAGCGCTGTGCCTGCGCTTCCTAGAGAATGACCAGCACTTTGATGTCATGGACATCCTCTCCATAAACACCTTCCTCTTCAGCGAAGCCCAACGCGAAGTGGTGCAGTCCGCCTTTATTCAGTTCTGCCTGGATCCCAAGACGAGCACGTCCCGTGCATGGGGCGGCTACCAGCTGCTGCAGCAGTTTTTTGAGGACACGAGCTTCGGGCGACGCACGCAGCTGATGGAGGCGTTCTTCGCGCGACGGCGGCCCGACATGGCGACGCATGTCTTTGGCCACATGCGCCAGCACCGCAGCAAGTCGCTGCACCCGCGGATGGAGACGTACATTGCATGCCTGGAGGGCCTCGCGCGCTGCCCGGACCTGGCCGGGCTGGAGATGGTGCACAACATGCTCAAGATGGACACGACGGTGCAGACGAACACGGCGCTGCAGACGGGGCTGATGCTGGCGTTCACGGCGTGCGACAAGCCGCTCACGGCGCTGGACTGTTGGTCGCAGATCACGCAGTCGCAGGAGGGGCCGTCGTACGCGACGCTCGAGGCGGTGTTTTGGACGCTGGAGCGCAAGCCGGGCGGGTACAAGATGGCGCGCGAGATCTGGGACCGCATGGAGCGGATGGACCTCGAGGTCTCGGCGCGCGTGTACAATGCGTACATTGGCGCGGTGGCGGGCGCGGGCTCCGAGAAGGAGATACGCGCCCTGATTATGAAGATGCCTACCGTGGTTGGTGTTGAGCCTGAGCCTATGACGTGAGTATTGAAGATCCCTGGTGTTGGCCGTGGAAATTCCATGTTGCTAACCGGAAAATAACTTGCAGATTTGCCATTGCGTACAATGCACTACCTGGATGGGAACTTCAAAACGAATTTCAGACGTGGGCAAAGCTGCGATACAAGGAGCAGTGGGAGACGTTGCTCAAGGCTGGGCGAAGGATGAATGAGTACTCGTTGTGTCAATTCAAGATTGACCGAAACATGCGAGCAGAGGTCTAGACACGAGGGAGTGACCGGTTGAGAAAGGGGAAAGAATCTACATAATAAAGCGAGATCATTTTTATTCTTCGTTGGGTCGCCGTAGGGCGGAATACTGCTACTCTTCTTGTACTAGTTATTGGCATGAGGGCAGAACAGGCAAGCGGGAAGACGAGTCTGCATCTCGCGTGTACAACATCTTTTCGAAAAAAAAAAAAAACTTGAAGCCTGGGACTGTATATGGTATAAAAATGCCGAGGAGAGAGGTTGAAATATGGAGGTCCAAGGCCTCTCTTGACTCAGTTGCACGTACTATGCAGGAGTTCTGACTGGACGAGATCTGGCTGAGCACGCGAGCCGCTGGGCATTTCTGGGCGCCCCGTCGTCAGCTGCTTGCCAGGCTCTTGGCAGATCCCGAGAAGCGTGTGCTTTCCGAGGCTTTCCGAGACTTTTCCGCAAATCGTTTGATGTTGTAAACTGCACAAACTGGTCATGGCCGTCGCACTTACACCTGTTCTTTGTGAATTGTTGGCAAGCGGGGGTTGATTCTCATCACACTTGACATGCTGGGCTCAGTAGACTCCAGCCAGTGTTTCTCCTCCTGTCCTGTTATCATTTAGCAGGATACTGCCAACATGCTGCTTGAATGTTGGCCGCATGAGAGGATCGGCAGTGCCTCTGGCGTGTGCCCGTCCCGTTGCTGAAGATGAACTGCGGTCTTAACTTGCAGCGGAGAGTGGACGGCAAAGCCTAGGCCGACACCGGCAGATATTCCACTCTTTAAGCGTGAAATCCACATAAAAGAAACCATCTACCTTGTAATACCCGAAGTAGTGCTTGGCGAGCTGTCTGATTGGCTCTGTCGCGAACACTGCTTCTTTGCGCGTCCAGGTCAATGGCTTTATCAGATCGAAATTTATCAGATGAAAGCTGCAAAGAAAATGAAGCTCCTCGTGAGTGAAAAAAAAAAAAAATTGAGGCTGAAGTATTAGACGATAGCCCACTTGGAAACTCTTGGCAGCCAAGCTTGAAGCTTTTTCCGATAGAGCCAACCATGGCCTCATTCTCGTGTAGTTGAGTCGTCTGGTATAAATACGCGCCAGGCAGACGTTCAAAAAGTATTCGAACCAACAGCTCGACATTATATCGGCAAGTTTCAAGTTGGTAATATATTCAAAGTCTTCATCTTCCAAGTCTCTCTCAGAAGCAATGGCGACGACGACAAGTCCAACTGAGGCGGATCTGCCTAGCAAGGAAGAGAAGCTCAAAGCTACGGTCGAGGAGCTTGGCTCTGAAAATGACAAGACGGGTCATATTGAATACGTTCTTTCCAAGCAGCAACTCGTTGTTGCCTTTGCCGCGTGAGTTTCGCACAACTACTCGCCATGACGCAGACATCTTACTCTTGACTACTTGGCAACGACTAACAACAACACTCATAGAATCTTCATCTTGCTCTTCGTGCAAGAACTCACCTCCGGCATCTTCCGCGTCCTCAACCCGTACGTCACCAGCGAATTCGAGCGGCACTCCCTGACCGCCACCACCGCCGTCGTCTCCAGCATCATCGGCGCCGTCTCCAACCTCCCCGTCGCCAAGCTCTTCGAGGTCTGGGGCCGCATGCAGGTGCTGGCCCTGATGGTCGGCTGCATGCTCCTCGGCATCGTCCTGCTGGCCGCCTGCGACTCCGTCGAGACCTATTGCGCCGCCCAGGTCTTTTACACCGTCGGCCTGTACGGCATCAAGTTTTGCATCGTCGTCTTCATCACGGACACCACGGCGCTGCGCAACCGCGCCTTCTTCATTGGCTTCACGGGGTCGCCGGTGCTCGCGACGCTCTGGGCGTACGGCCCGCTGTCGGACAGCATCCTGCGGACGATTGGGTTTCGCTGGGGGTTCGGCCTGTGGGCGCCGGTGTACCTGGTGGTCTCGCTGCCGGTGCTGGCGGTGCTTCGCAGCGCGCAGAGGGCGAAGAGGAGTGAGGTCGCGGGCGTGGCTGACGCTTCAGAGACGGCGCTGCCGCTTGCGTTTTGGGAAAAAGTCGTGCACCATGCCAAGCTGTTCGACGTCGTCGGCATCCTCATCATCTCGACAGGCTTGACCTTGCTTCTGCTCGCCGTGTCCATCTACTCCTACCAAGCCGATGGATGGCGATCTCCGCTGATAATCTGCTTCCTCGTCTTCGGAGCCTTGCTGTTGCCCGTCTTTTGTCTGTACGAGAGATACCTTGCCTCGTCGACGTTTATCCCGTGGTCCATCTTCACGAGCAGGACCGTCGTCGCGACCAACTTGATGGTGCTCACCCTGCAGGCCGGTCAGCAGCTTGCCAACGCCTACTTTTACTCCTTCTTGATTGTCGTGTTCCGACAGACAATCGCAAACGCAACGTATATCTCCAATATCTACTACATTGCCAGCACGATCACGAACTTGGTCCTCGGCGTCGTGGTCCGCCGCTTCGGCCGCATCAAATGGTTCGCCCTGTGCGGCGGCGTGCCCCTCGTGATGCTGAGCGTGGGCCTCATGATCAAGTTCCGGACCCCCGACACGCATATCGGTCTCATCATCTTGAGCCAGTTCCTCAACGCCTTCGGTGGCGGCATCCTGCACCCTTTGGAGCAGATCACCCTCATGGTGGAGTCTGACCATGAACATGTTCCGGCTCTGCTTGCGGTGGAAGGCACCTTTGCCATCATTGGCAAGGGTATTGGTTTTGCGCTGGCCGGGGCGATATGGACGGGCATGTTCAAGGACAGACTGGCCAGGTATCTTCCAGCCTCGGAAATGCCACACCTGGAAAGCATCTACGGGAGCATCAAGGTCCAGAGCTCGTACGCCATGGACAGCGAGACGTATAGAGCCATTGCTCACGCGTATGGAGATACGCAGCGCGCGATTTTGCTGGCTTCGATTGGGATTTTTGTCGTGACCCTCGTCCTCACGGCGCTCTGGAGGGACATTAACGTCAACAAGGTCGCGAACCGACAGAACAAACGTTGGTGATGCAACCCCCCCCCATGTATTTCAAGCTATATATTATACAGGGTCCATTTCTTGATCCTTTTAGAATCTTGACCCTCTACCATGCTCCAAAACTTGACTGTAGTCGTGAGCAGTTCCCCCAGCGTGACCTTGACTCAATACCAGTTCGATCTTGAAAAATTTATGTGCTACCACTAATCTTATACATCTCGTTCATACAACTTTCTTTGAATGCCCAAGTAATTCTTGGGCAAGACAGAAGACTTGGCACTGCCCATGTGAAATGTTTGATCCACTAGAATGAAAACGAGAAATAGACACAAGAAGGGGGGGAGCCTTCCATTAATTCATACCTTGATAAGAAGCTGGGAACTCAGACTTGATTAGAAGAACCGAGTAGTAGTACAAGTACCTTTTACTCGGCCTCGCATTTGCCTACCTGGTAGACAAAGTTGTCACCACCGTTCCCGTTCCTTGTTACGAATTAGCAACGGGCGAAACTCTTGGCCAAACGATGCATAAGGCACTTTTCCCACTTGTATCCCCCTGCGTATCATTATGGTGCTCTCGCTGTACGTGGAATAAGTCGAGAGTCAACCGTTCTGTACATCAAGATCCCTTTTATGGCACCTAGTTATGAGTTCCAGTAGCACCTGAGCATCGCGTCCAAGGTTGATCTGTGCCAGCGCCTTGAGAGAGCGGCTTTTTTTTTTGGTAAAATTTTCGATTTTGAAAGAAATTACCTGTAGTTATTTCGATAGGAACGAATTAGCTAGATAGAGGAGTTAGCTGGACGTGAAAGATTTGCATACCTGTTGATGAGGAAAATGAATCAAGTCAGCTCCCACGTTGGGGGTGGTGGTTTTTATAGGTTTGAGGGTCATCTTTTTTAAACTCGACCTTTTTGCCACTCTTTTATATCTGTTCAATTTTGTAGATTTGAAGCACGTCATAGTTTCCCGAACACTTATTCCTAGCTGTGCGGTCTTGACGCGGCGTGTTAGCTGTGCCAATGTGTTCGTAGTCTCTACTAGGTACCATTATTAGTAGATAAGTTTTCTCTCGACAGGGCCTAGACCACCACCGCATAGCTAACTCAACGGCAGAGGCTGTGGTAACTCTGCTTAATACTGAGAATAGTTCACAGTTGTACGCTTTGCTACGCCGCGTGTGATGCTAGGTGTTGACACGGGCCGCAGACCAAGCAGGTTGAGCCTCGCGGACGAGCGCAACCCAAGATTTGAACAAAATAAGTTGAGTGCGCCACCTGCTTGTAAAGAGAACGATAATTGAGGGCAATAGCCTGTCTGCCTGTGGGTATCTAGATCTAACCGGCATTCTGGGGGGGGGGGGGCAATGGCAGAGCAAAGAACGGAGGATGTGCGTGGGGGAAGTCCCTTTTCCTTGTTTGCGGTATTGGGGGATACTTTTCCTGGTTTGTCCTTTTTTTCTTCTTTTTTTTTTTAAAGAAAGACTCGGCTACTTACATTGAAACCTTATTCAAAGCTTTTTCTTGCCCGCGCGGAGGAGCTGCCCCTCTACAAGTTGTTCTACGGATTGGACAAGAGACAACCATTCAACTGTCGGTACCACATCACTCGCCGGTTTTTTAGTTTTCATAATATTTCTTTGATATTATTTTCCTCTATTGTCAAGTTTGGGTAGCTTACCAAGTCTTTGGAATAAGAATAACAGTTCTAGGCCGAAGGTACGTACAATTTGCGCCCCCACCACCGCCACTCCCCCCGCCACCATCGGATCGGCGAATTGACTAGTACATAAGGACAAAGGTAATCTGCCACCTAACATTCTGCCAGCTGCGAGCTTCCAACCAACTACCAACAAACACCACATGGTCGACAAGACGCGCCCGTTCTTTGCCCCTTGTAATCCGGTGTGCTCTTCTTGAAGCTACATGACTTCCTGAGCTTGTTACCGTTACACCGGCCATCGGAACCTCGGGCCTCCGTCCGCAATTGGCGGCCAAGCATGGCCTCGACCTCGGCTGACGGCGTGCCACACGCAGCCGCCTCGTCGTTGTGGGAAAACCTCGTGGACAATGCGGCCGTCACTGTCAACTCGACCTTTACATATGAGGATTTGGTCTTTCAAATAGCGCCATTGGCTCTGGTACTGGCGCTGTCGCCCTTTTTCCTGCATCACTATTCCCAGCCGCCAGTGTACCTGCGTCACGTCCCATTTCTGCGCCTCAAACTGGTAAGCTACGAATGTCCTTCTCGGGTACCGTCTCTCTACTTTGCCACGCCTCTAACTCGCCCGTCTCTCCTCAGTTCGCCGCTGGGTCCCTCATATGTCTCGAGTTCTCCAACCTTCTTCTTCGCCGCATGCGACTCGATCCCCGAGCCGATGCCATGGTCGCCGCAGCACTCATTGACTTGGTTGTTGCTCTTACCATAGGAATCATCCTCTACATCGAAAGCCAAGGCATTCGTCCGTCTGCCTTGCTTCCTCTCTACCTCTCCGCCGGTTGCATGATTGACGCGGCCAAGTGCCACTCTTTCTACCTGGCTCAAGGCCTGTCATCGGCTTCTGCCATTGCCACTTCCGCTGGAGGTTTTCGCTTCCTGCTTCTACTCCTCGAGACATTCTCAAAGGAGGAACTCATGGTCAGCCAGGACGCAGCTCAATACGAAGCTCTTCAAGAAGAGAAAAGGCGCCGTGCGTACTTCATTTTCCCGCGCCTCTCCATTTCCAGGCAACTTCGCATCTCCATCGAAAACGGCAATCTGATGCCCATTGCGTCCGAGTTTGCGTCCGACCGCTTATATGACAAGCTCAAGAGCTATTGGCAGCTGAGCGATGACGCCACTGATGAGATGGAGAAAATACGACGCACGGCGCAAATTGAAGGCAAAGCAGCACCATCTCTGGAACTCGAAAGCCTGTCGATGGCATGCGCTACAGCCTGGTGGACCGAGGGCAAGCGAATGCTTGTACCACGACTAGTTTTTGCCATGTGCACATTCAGCCAGCCTTTCATTTTGAAAGCAATCATCGAGGCCTTGGGCCAAGATGAGGTCTCGACCTTGCGCAAACTCATCTTGGTCGCTGTGACGCTATTGGCCTTCGTCGGCGTCACTGTTGGCAAATCATCGTATGCCCATATGAACTACCTCATGGTCGCGCGCTTGCGTGGGAGTTTGATTACCCAGACTATCGAGAAAACCCATCGCATTTCCTACAAAGATGCTCAGACATCCGCAACCATCTCCTTGATCAGCACTGACATTGACGGTATTGCTGCCGCATTGCCCAGATTCCTGGAGCTCCCTGTCACCTTTATGGAAACATGCTTTGGCATTTACGCTCTTTCCTGGTTTGTTGGGAACGCATGCTTCCTGGTGCTCGTCCCAGTCCTGGCCTCCAACATCTTCTCGTGGTTCTGGGGCTTTGTAACCGAGCCAGCCCTTGCTGCCTGCAAAAAGAAGACCGAGGTTCGCGTAGCAAAGACGTCGTCCCTTCTCTATCAACTAGGCGCAATCAAAATGACGGGCTTAGCTCCGACCGTTGCCACCTTTCTTCAAGGCCTGCGACTACAAGAACTGCGACTATTGACGAGACATCGATCACTCGAAACGGCAACAGTGCCTTTCATTCAAGCAGCAAACACCATGACGCCTGTCTGGGTGCTCAGCCAAGCGCTTTCGCCAGTTGAATTGACAGAGACTGTATCTGCCGACGTCGTCTTCCCCATCTTGGCCCTTGTCGCAGCCATCCAGGGCCCGCTGGGTCGGCTCTTGGATATGAACTCGACGACGTCATCCATCAACGCCCGATTCGACGCCATTCGGCAGTTTCTGAGTCTTCCTGAAAGAGACGAGTATCGGTTCATCAGAGACAAACACTTCCCCAAGTACCGCCGGGCCCCGCCAGTGAACGAGCAGTTTGTTCATCCAGTTCAAGTGATCGATGTTGATATTGCACCTCCCGGGCTACGACAGCCCATTCTCTTCCGCGTTGACTTTGCGCTCGTTCAAGGGTCAATTACGGCAATCGTTGGCTCACCCAGGACGGGAAAGAGCACGCTCTTGCAGGGCATACTTGGTGAAGCGTCTCTCATTGAAGGGTCGATTTGCGTACAGCATGAAGACATGGCCATATGTGGCCAGATAACTTGGCTGCAGGATGCCTCAATCCTTGACAACATCATAGGCCCCTTGCCCTACAACGCCGATTTCTTCCAGCGAGTGGTCGAATGCTGCTTGTTGCGAGATGACCTCGATCAACTTCCTGGCGGAGCCGACTACATGGTTGGGCCTGCTGGAAGAAATCTGAGCACTGGCCAGCGACAACGCATCGGTATCGCTAGAACGGTCTACTCCCGCACTGCGGTCATGCTTTTTGACGATCCTTTCGGTGCTCTCGACAAAAAGACGGCCGTGTCTATCCTGTTTCATTTGTTCGGCGCAAGCGGGCTTTTGAGAGAAATGGGTATCACTGTTGCTCTGGTGTCGTATCTGCGGGAGAGCCTTGACGTCTCGGATAGAGTTTTACTTCTTGACGGCCATGGATATGCTTCTCTTGAAGACCACCCTTTCCAGACTCCCGCCTTCGCGGCCAAAGTCAAGGAAGTTTTCAACTCTATACCAGAAGGGCCTCCCGAAGAGGTTGAAGACATTGAAAAGGAAGTCATACGTCGGTCATTGGAGTTTGAAAGACTTTCCTCACGCGCCGCATTAACTGGCGTGCCTGGAAATTTGGGCTCGAATACACGGCTACGTACCCTTTACATCAAACCAATCGGATACTTCTCGGTAATTTTATACACCGTGCTCCTCTTTTGCCTAAGTCTTGGAGAGAACATTCCTAGTAAGATTAAGACTCGTTCTACTTTGCGTTCAAAACTGACGGCAATCCTAGACGTCTATGTGCGAGACTGGATAGATTCTCGATCAGCGACTTACTCTGTCGCTGGCTACGCTTCTTCGGCTGGTATCACATGCTTAATTGGAACGCTGTCTTATTGGCTGCTCCATGTCAAGCTTGCGCCGAGAGCCTCTCTTGCACTGCACCAACATCTCGTAAACGCCATCACCGGATCCACGCTTGTTTTTCTTGGTGTTGTCAACATAGGATCAGTCATGATGCAATTTGACCAAGATGCAAGCATGCTCTCCCGCCAATTACCTTTCTTCTCTATGAGGACTGCATCCGCTCTCTTCTCCGTCATGATCAAGACCTCCATCATTGTCTCGGGAGCATCGTACATGTTCGCCATTCTGCCGCTTCTTGTGGCTGCATTGTATTACCTCCAAATTTTCTACTTCAAGACGGCTCGCCAACTGCGCAAGCTGGATAGCGAGGCTAAGACGCCACTGTTCAAACGGTTTGAAGAGACGGCCGATGGCATAATGTACATGCGCGCTTTCCGTTGGCTAAAAGCTGACACACGAATCAGCTTTGGGCTCCTGAACATTAGCCAGAGGGCGTTTTACTATTTATTTTACTTCCAACAGTGGTTGGTGATGGTCCTCGGCCTCTTTACTAGCAGTATTGCTGCGTGCCTAGTACTGCTTGTGTTATTTTTTCCTGGAAGCACATCTGAAGCCGCAGTAGGCTTATCCTTTCTAGCACTATTCCAATTCAGCTGGACATTGGAAAGGCTGTTTGAGGTGCGTACCCTGCTCGAAACGCCGATTGGCTCGCTCGAGAGGCTGCGCTCTTTCCTGCGATATACCCCGCAAGAAACCGAGCGGAATGCTCAGCCAGCTCCCGAAGGTTGGCCATGGCGTGGAGAGATTGAGTTGGAAAATGTAACGGCAAAATATGAGTAAGCACATGCATTGAACAGTGATGCCACCTCAAGACCTAACAAATTTCAAGGGAAACTTCAGAAACGAATGCTTTACAAGACTTGACATTGGTTGTTGAGGCTGGAGAAAGGGTCGGGCTGATTGGCCGCACTGGGAGGTAAGATTGACACGTCTGGTTGCCGTGAGCCACTGCTGACCATGACATTTTGATAGTGGCAAGACGTCAGTCCTTAATGCCATCCTTGGGCTGGTCGATTACAGCGGCATGATCATGATTGATGGGATAGATGTATCTATGCTGTCCCGAGACGAACTTCGATCCCGCATAGTGACGATTTCCCAAGACCAGGTGAGATTTGATGAATCTATTCGAACCAACCTCCTGCCCCTCACTCTGAACGACGTGGCGGCAAAGACCACCTCAGAGGAAGAGGAGGGGATTATGGACGAGGCCGCACGAGAGCGAGATGATGTTCTCGAGGCGGAGTTGAGACGCGTTGGAATCTGGCAGAACCTGACGAATAAGAGCGGCCTCGATACGGTGCTAGATGAGGCAGGCTATTCGCCTGGCGAGGTTCAGCTGCTGTGCATTGCAAGGGCTAGTCTCAGACAGAGCGAGACTGGCAGCAGGGTGGTGCTGGTGGATGAGGTGACGACGTGTGCCGATGCTTGGACACAAGAGCGTATACAAGACGTCATGCGCAACTCGTTCCTGGGCTGCACGATGCTGGTGGCGGCACGTACGGAAGAAGCGATTTTGGATGTCAGCGCCGTTTTTGAGATGTCTGAAGGAGTTATTATGCATGAGGCGCGCAGGTACGGCTGGTAGCCGATGGTCTGCACTTTTGGAATAGAATACCGAGTGGATTGGCGAAGGCCGCTTCCCGAGTGTGCCTTGTCACCAAGTGTGTAAATAGTCGTCGAGATGAGCAAGCCACAGCGCGAGTCCGGCAGGCCGTTGAGCCTACATCATGTATATACAGCACCGTCATCGTGGTGACAAGTGACAGGATATGAGTTTATTTGATGAGATATGAGGCTACCTGACGAGATATGAGTCTGCCTGACGAGATATGAGTATCTGGCTGAATAATTCCCGGCGTTGTCTTTCCAAGGGGGCAAAACGTTTAAAAGACGGATAAAGAATTAAACGACTGGACTGTACGTGTCACCAAGTGACAGGTTGTGGTTTCTACAGCATCTCTGCTCCTACGTCACGACGCTTGTTTAAAAAAGTGGAAGGTCCGGTCACGGCGGAGGCAAGTAGCGATGGTGACATTTGCAGGCTCAGAGGGAGCCGATACCGAATGCATTGCCGTAGGAGCTGCCGTGGGAGCTGCCAGAGCTAATGAGAGAAGTCAAGATGACCCCTCCTCCCCCGCACCCGGAAAGGGAGCTAAAAGGGCACGGCGCGGCTTCCCTCATCAGCTGGGAACCTACACAACTCACCCAACTCGAGAACTCTTACGGAAGCGACTCAGAACAGCATCAAAGTCAACCCATCAAGAAGAAACCAAACAGAAAAATGCCTCTCATCGTCCCAACCCGCATCAAGCCCAGGGTGATCCTGGGCCTCATGACGTTTGGCCCGAGCAAGGAGGCCGGCGCGCGCATCACGGACGAGGCGACGCTGGGCCGGGCTCTGGACACGCTGCGGGAGCGCGGCTACGATGAGATCGACACGGCGCGCATCTACGTCGACGGCCAGCAGGAGGCGTTTACGCGGGCGGCGGGCTGGAAGGACCGGGGCTTCACGCTGGCGACCAAGGTCGAGTATCCGCAGACGCCGGGGGCCAACAACGCCAAGGCGGTGGTTGAGTCTGTGGAGAAGAGCCTGAAGGAGCTGGGCACCGATTGCGTCGATGTAAGTGGCGGAGGGCAACTGCGTCAATGGCGATGGTGAACCTTACGATGATGTTGGCTAACCCTCTTTTCCACTTCATCAGATCCTCTACCTCCACTGCCCCGATCGCGGCACGCCGTTCGCCGAGACGCTCGAGGCGATCAACGAGCTGCACCGGGCGGGCAAGTTTGTGCGCCTGGGCCTGAGCAACTTTGCCGCGCACGAGGTGGCCGAGGTGGTGCTGACGTGCAAGTACAACGGGTGGGTGCGGCCGACGGTGTACCAGGCCATGTACAACTGCATCACGCGGCACGTCGAGCGGGAGCTGTTCGTCGCGTGCCGGCGGTACGGGCTCGACATCGTGGTGTACAACCCGCTGGCGGGCGGGCTGTTCTCGGGCAAGGTGCGGTCGCGGGACGCGGTGCCGGAGAGCGGGCGCTTCTCGGACGAGGCGGGCGCGCTGGGCGGGCGGTACCGCGCGCGGTACTTCAAGGACGGCGTGTTCCGCGCGCTGCAGCTGGCCGAGGCGGCGGCGGACGCGCACGGGCTGACGCTGATCGAGACGGCGCTGCGGTGGACGGTGCACCACTCGGCGCTGCGGGTGGTCGGCGGAGGGAACGACGGCGTCATCGTGGGCGTGTCGAGCGTGGAGCAGCTGGAGAGCAACCTGGCGGACCTGGAGAAGGGGCCCCTGCCGGAGGAGGTGGTGAGGGCGCTGGACGAGGCGTGGGAGGCGGCGCAGCAGGATGCGGCGCCGTACTGGCATGGCACGCTGGAGTACACGTACGACACGCAAAAGGCGCTGTTTGCTCCGGGGGCCAAGTAAGTGGAAGAGCTGCGTGCCTTGGCTGGAGATGACTGGCTGGGCGATGAGCAATGCGGGATGCTGCCCAAGACGATGACGATAGGTAGAAGGGTAGATGACCTTGATAGAGATGCAGGAGAGAGAACATGCAGAGGTCAAGTTATGCTTATTTGAAGGGGGCGTCGTGCAGGTGACACGTGCGTGTGACCAGACACCAATTTATTCAGTCGCGCAGAAGATTTTGGCTGTCCAAATGACCAGCCTGCGCTGCATCGGCGATGCACTGGAACCACCTGTGCAGCAGTGGCTGAATGTCGATTTTATAGTGGTCATAGCGGCTCCCTGCTATTGTGGTGTGGGTAGGGGTCCAGCTGAGGCTCCTTCACAGCTGATTCTCACGTCGCAACTTTTAAAATTTGTCCTCCATGGAAGTTGTATTGTAGTTCCTCTTCAGCGCATCTTTTCGCCTTTTCCTTTTTGGACCTCTTAACAATTCTTCGTCTTTGACCGCTGACGTACCCCGTTCCCCACCGTTCTCCAGACCCTCCAGTCTCGCTGTCCACTTTGTCCCGCGTTCAGTCAGTGGCTTCGGCTCAGCCTCGCTCCGATTCGTCGCCTCCTAAACCGTTTCCGATACTCTTCGCGCCCAACCTCGTCTTCGACCCCTTGAATCCTCTTCCCTTCATCTTCCAGCCGTCAAATCAAATCGCAACCGGAAGGCCATCAAGAATTCCAACCACGACCCAAAAAAAATCAACCTACCAACTCGCCTCCCCCTTTCCTTCACCAGCGCCCCAACGTCGCTCGTTTTCCAAACCTCTCCGCCCAACGCACGACCAATACATGCCAGACGTCGCCCCAACCCAATTTACAGCAAACGGCGATCCCTTCGTGGGAGCCCCTTATCTCGTACCCGTTCTCCCACCCTGAAAAACTCACGACAAACCCTCCGCGACAACGACTTCTCGTGCTCGCGTGCCTCCATGCCCTAATCGACAAACCGCCCCCTTCCTTCCCCCCCTCCCCCTCCCGACGCCCGCTAGTTTTCGGGGCCCGACTGTGAACCCGACGCCGCCATGACTCGACCCAACGAAGGAGGCGTCTACGGCACGCCGCTGCTCGCCAAGCCCGAAGATACCGTCGACGCCGCCGAACGCGGCCGCTCCAACGGCACCCTCACGCCCACCCGCGGCGGCACCACGTCCAACACCACGAGCCGCCCGACCCTCTCGCGCCGCTCCACGGCCATGCGCTCGCGCAGCCCGCGCGGCTTCGCCGCCGAGCAGGCCGCGCGCAAGAAGTACACCTACGCCGCCTTCTTCCTCGCCGTCTCGCTCGTCGCCTTTTGCGCGCAGACGGAGCTCAGCGCGCACATCCAGCACGACCTCGGCTGGGACAAGGCCTACTGCATGATGTACCTGACCCACGGCAGCTGGGTCGTCCTCTGGCCCGCCCAGCTGCTCGTCCTGCGCCTGCGCCGCCTCGACCAGCCCTGGCCGGTCTTTTGGCGCCGCCACACCCAGCTGCTCAAGACCACGGCGCTCATGGTCGAGGCGCAGACGCTCGACGTGTTCGGGGCGAGCCTGGGGTACACGGCGCGCTCGGCGCGGTACATGCTCAGGGTGACGGCGATGGTGACGACGGCGCTGACGGTGGCGGGGCTGAGCTGGTACGTGGCGGTGAGCATGACGACGCCGTCGGACTTGACGGCCATTTACAACTGCTCGGCCTTCTTCGCGTACGCCTTCTCGGTGCCGCTGCTGCGCGAGCCGCTGCGCTTCGACAAGTCCGTTGCTGTGCTCATCGCCATCGTCGGCGTCCTTGTCGTCGCGTACGGCGACACCGGCGGTGCCGAAGCCGGCGCATCCTCGTCCGGCCCCGACGCCTCCTCCGAGAACCGCTTCCTCGGCAACGTGGTCATCGGCTTCGGCTCCGTCCTCTACGGGCTGTACGAGGTCATGTACAAGCGCTACGCCTGCCCGCCCGACGGCGTCTCGCCGGGCCGCGGCATGATCTTCGCCAACACCTTTGGCTCCCTCATCGGCCTCTTCACCCTCACCGTCCTCTGGGTCCCGCTCCCCGTCCTCCACCTCCTCGGCTGGGAGCGCTTCCGCCTCCCCGACGCCGCCACCGCGCGCCTCGTCCTGCTCGCCGTGCTCTGCAACGCCGTCTTCAGCGGCTCCTTCCTCGTCCTCATCAGTCTCACCTCGCCGGTGCTCTCCTCGGTCGCCGCGCTCCTCACCATCTTCATCGTGGCGCTGGCGGACTGGGCGCTGACGGGGCGCCCGCTGAGCGGCGCGGCGATGCTGGGCGGGTCGATGATCGTGGTGGCGTTCCTGGCGCTGAGCTGGAGCACGTACCGCGAGATGACGGAGCACGAGGCGCAGAAGCTGGCGGTCGACTTGACGGACAGCGACGACGAGGATGCCAACATGAGCGGCAGCGATGCATGAGCGCGCCATCTTTTCCTACGTGTTCTTTCTTCTTCTTTGCTTTTGACGCCCGCTTAACACGGTTTTCATCATGTACGTCTTTTGCGTGTACTATTCGTTGCGTGTGTCTCGGCTACAAGACACGCAGTTTCTTTACTTGGTTGGATCAAATCTTGCATATCTGGGGTTCTTGTTTTGGGAGTAGCATAACGGCGTATCACACAGTAGACGCCCGTCGAGGCTGGACGGAATTTTTTTGTTCCTTTTCTTTCAGCAACTGCAAGGAAATGGCGGTGTTAGTCGTCCAAAAATGAACTGCTTGCGGCACGGACGGTTGTGCCTGATTTCATTAATCGTTACGGATACTCAAACATGTATACAATTTGTAAGCGTGCCATAAACCGTGTGTAACATGAGGCCCAACACGAGGCTCCCAACATCACAGCCCCTCACCTGAAAATTGCAATCTACACGCTTGCAATCTACACGCTTGCCAGCTCCCACCCGCCACCGCCCGTCCGCCTCCTCCTCCTACGCCTCTCCTCCTGTCCCGGAACGTCACGCACGAACCTTCCCAGGCCGTCCACCTCCCACCCGGAGCCGCTCGCGAGCACCGTCTCGACCGCCTCCTCCCACGCGAGCTCGTCGTCCTCGGCGTCGCCCGTCTCGAACACGCACAGCGACCGCCACTCCGGCCGCGGGCCGGGCACGAAGATGCCCTGGAACAGCGCCGAATACGCCATGTCGCGCTCCACGAGCACGTCCTCCCTGTCCAGCCCGTCGAGCGGGTCGCCGACGCTGCTGCCCCGGCGGCGAGGCATCAGCTGCACGTACAGCTCCTCCAGGTGCGGGGGCACGAGTGCGGGCGAGGTCAGCGCGACCTGCACGTGGGTGGCCATGGGCACGACGGCGACGTACTCGAGACGCCGCAGGGCGCCGCAGAGAAAGTCGCGGCGGGTGGCCGGGTCGCGCGAGGCGAGGAGGCTGAGCAGCGGCGAGGGCGGGGTGTCGCCGTAGCCGTCGGTCTTGTAGATGGACACGGAGGAGCCCTCGTTGGCGAGCAGCGCGGTCCACGGTGGCTGGCGGGCGAACAGCTCGCAGGGCAGGTTGTCGCACACCGGGGTGGGGCGGAGGGGGGTGGTCGAGCTGGCAGCCCGGCGGCGGCCGGGACACGGAGAGCAGGTGGTAGCGCGTCATCAGCTGCGGCTGGCACCGTGTGAAGACCTTGCGGCTGATCATGGTGGCGAGCACGACGGGGGCGGCGAGGAGGCTGACGCGCAGCGGGTCGGTGACGACGCGGAAGAGGAGCGCCCAGAACCAGGTGTTGGCCCAGGTGGCGTGGCCGTTGACGTCCGCGAGCACTAGGCTGACCGAATCAGACAGCACCACGCCCACGTCGTCCTCATCCTGCCCACCGCCCTCCTCATCCTTGGGCGAGATCAGCGCGGCCGCCGTCGAGTCCGGGACCAGGCCCCACCGTCCGACCAACTCCGTCGGGTCGTCAATCAGGTGCTCCGGGCAGGGGACGTGCAGCGTGATGCCCTTGACCGCATCGCCGAGCCGGTTCCGCCGCAGAAAGGCGAGCAGCTCGAGGCGCTCCACGTCGTCGTCAGGCTCGCCTCCTCCCGAGGCCGGCGGCTGCTCTAAGCGGCGAAAGGTCCAGAGGACGTGGCGGAAGAGGCACGGCAGAATGACGTCTCGCCAGCGGCGACATACTAGCGAGATGGCCTTGAGCGGCGTGCGGGTTTGACTGTCGTTGCTGTGACGGTGGTGGTGGAGGTGGTGGTAGGGAGAGGACCCGCGGGCGGCGAGGTAGTCGTCCATGATGGTGGATGCGTCGTCGCGGAAGCGCGGCTCCAGCGTGGAAGCTGCGCTGAAGTAGGAGAAGATTTCGACGAACAGCTCATTGGGGAGGTCGTCGAGCGACGGCGGGCCGCTGCGGCGACGGGCGTCATGATTGTCGCCGGCGATGGCGGTGGGTAGCCGTGGCGGGGGGGTCTCGGACATGTGCGGGCAGGATGGGGAAGAATGGGATATGAATGCAATGGTAAGAATTAAGCAATGGCAAAAATGAAGAAATGAGGTCTGAGGCAAGAATGAATACGGTGAGAAAAAAAAAATTTTTTCAAGTTAATGATGAAAAGAATTGAGAGAGACGAGGCGACGTCTGTGTATGAATGAATGAATGAAGGAAGGAAGGAAGGAAGGATTGATTGATTGATTGATTGGTTGGTTGATTGATTGGTTGATTGATTGATTGGTTGATTGATTGATTGATTGGCTGGTTGATTTGATTGTGGCGCTTTTATACAGTAGGAGCGTATTGTATGTCGACGGTAGGCAAGAGGGAGGAAGGATAGAGGGGTCACTGTCACTCACTAACTACTCACTCACTGTAACCCGGTGACCTTGCGTGCCTTATTATTACCTATGTACATCCATACATCCATACATCCATACATCCATACATCCGTGGTATTTCTCGGCGGCCCCGTTCCAACCCCCCCCCGGGGCTTCAGTCCATCTACATAGGTATCAGGCAGGTACTACCAAAGGCAATCAATGTACATATATCCAAGGCCGCTGGTGCTTGGAAGCATGCATTTTGCTTCGCTTATATTTACTTCCATCCCGTGAACTTGCAAATTTGTCTCATTCCAGATCTATCCGACACCTCTTGGCCGAAGCTCGTCTTCGTTCCAACTCGTCCATGTCCAGTCACACCCTTCTCGAGGCCATGGGACATGGCTTATCTCCTTCATCTTCCTCCCCCTCCATCACGCATCTAAAACACAGCCGCCGCGCCAATGCCCAGCGTAACCCCCGATGTGCCCGGAAATTCTTTGGCGAGCCGCAGTCGTCGACGCACTGTTTCACAACTAGCGGGTTAGCAATGTCCAACCTGCTTCATCCTTCAAACCCTCCCCCCCCCGGTAACTTTCACTCACCCTTGTCCAGACCCTCGTGGACCGGCGGTTGCGCCGCCGCCGACTCCTCCCAGATCCTGCAGCACCACATGGCCACCAGCACGTCCATCAGGCTCCTCTCCATGCCCGTCGTCGTCCGCAGCCGATGCTCTTTGCCGTTCCCATCATCCCCCTCGCCCTCGCCCTCACCCAGCTCCTCCACCGCCAGCAGCCGCCCATCCCCCTCGCCGCCCGTCCTCCACTCATACGAGCCCCCTCCTGCTGCCTTGACCACCCGGAACAGCACCTCTACCCCTCCCTTGCCATCCTCGAACCTCGGCTCCCCGTACTTTGCCTTCTCCTTCACCGGCAGCACCTGCCAACCGCCTCCCCCTCGCATCCCCAGCAGCGACGACGCCTTCTTCAGCCCCCAGACGCCCGGGTAGGTCATCTTGGTCCACGGCTTCGCGTAGTACCCCGGCGTCCCGGTCATCGCCTCGCCCACGCTCGTCACCGTGCCGCCCTTGCCCGTCGGGTGCACCAGGTCCATGACGTGCCGCCTGCGGACCTTGACCCGCGGCGTCGTCGTCGTCGCCGCCTCGCCGTCGTCGCCGCCGAATTCTTTGGCGTCCTCCACGGCTTCCAAGCCGCCGCTGCTGCTGCTGCTGCTGTCGACGCGCCGCTCCACGCGGCGAAGCTCCACGCAGGTCGTCGCGTGCCCCAGGTTGGCCACGCCCCGGTTCGTCTCGAACAGCGGGGCGCCGGCCGCGGAGCCCGCGCGGATGCTCTGCCCAACGAGAACGAGGAGGACCGGCTCCTCAAGCGGATCTGAAGAGGTGGACGCGACGCAGCTGTCGTAGCTCGGCGGTTGCTCGTCGTGTGATTTCGTCATCGTTGGCCAAAGAATCTTGTCAGGTCATGTGTTGAAATCACAATCTAATGAGTCAAGATGTGTTGACCGATTTCTCCATTCTTCCTTTGGAGCAAGTACATGGAAAAAAGACAGAGATTATCAGATCGCGACCCCCCGTCATATATATATAAGTCATCACCACCCACCCACCCCTGCGGACGCGACGTCATGAGAGCCCACACATCCAGAGCCTGACTGCGACCAACTGCGCCACCGGGCAAGGTCGGGCAGCCTTGGACCTTGTTCAGTCCATTCCCTGTAGCGTAAATAATCTTGCTCATCAAAGCCTTCTTTATGCCCCATCTGTGCCAAGCCTACATGTCTGCACGACTCAACCTCCGTCATTGGCTTCTCTCCGCACCACATGGTCGCAGCTCACGCCACATCCAAGCCTCGGGCGTTGTCATGAATGAAACATCCGCAGCCTTATTTCCTGGTACACATTTCCTTGCTTTCACCAAGAACCAAAAAAGCAACAGAATATTATTCAAATTAAGATATCCCTGGTTTATTAAAAAGAAATCTACCGTGGTATTTATCCCCTACCCACAGCAGCTTGATGCATACATCCGTTTGGTCAGCCTTCTTCACTTATCCAAAAACCATGCCATCAAGACAGATGAAATGAAAAAAAAAAATTTGAAAATGATCAAAAGAGATTCAAGAAGAAGAAGAAAAAGTTCGTTACAGATAAGGAGCGAGATGGCCTTAACTCTAAGCCCAAAATGTCTCGCCCATGCTTCCTTCCATTGCCCCCTTCCCACGCCTCTTAACCATTCCATGGTCCAACGCCAGATATAGGCCAAGAAAATAAAAAGGGTAAAAAGACGCTAAAATCACAATGACAAGAAGAATGAAATCCGTCTAGAAAAATATACTCAACCACGGATAGACGCCAACACCACCGTGTCTATGCCTCATGGCTGATCCATTACCTGCCATGATTCGCAGACATCCGCCGTCTTCAGGATCATCATCTTTCGTTCGCTCCATTCGCCACAGTGCCGTTCCTGTTTTCCGTCTCCGCCTTTCCCTTACTGTCTGTGCTCAGTCGCCCCGCGCCGTCGCCCGCTTTCTTATCACCGGGTACTTCCAACGGGCTCGGCGTCCTCGATGTCGAGCTGTGAACGGACCGGCTGCGGTGCACAAACGACGGCGCTGACGAGCCAAAGATCGGACTATCGCACGCTCGTAGACCCTCCGAGTCCAGCGGCTGGTTGAATACAGCGCCCTCCTCCATCGGATCCATGCTAGCATCTGTCCGCAGAGCTTGCCGGCTAAACGTCTGCTCCTTGGCCGATTCGGAAACCGCCCTCAATCTGGCGTCGTACTCGGCCTGTGAAATTTCCAGCGGGCTCGGCGATGGTGTTGGGAATGGGTTCTCCGGCGCATTGACATACGCGTCCAGCTTACGCCGAAGCACATCGGCCCGCACGGGCTTGGCCAGGTAGTCATTCATTCCTGCTGCCAAGCACTTTTCTCTGTCGCCCTGGATAGCAGACGCCGTCATGGCAATGACAAGAATCTTTCGTACAGCCTCGATCGGATCTTTGCGAATGAGCTTGGTTGCTTCGTACCCGTCCAGGACAGGCATCATGACATCCATCAGGATGATGTGATACGGCTGACCATCCTTGGCCTTGGCACGCAGGCCTTCAATCGCCTTCATGCCGTTTTCATAAGCCACGACGTGGCGGTATCCGAGTCGCTTCACATACTGAATCGCAATCTTCTGGTTGATCGGGTTGTCTTCAGCTATGCACACGCGGATATCCTCCGTCGCGAGCTTGGATAGATTCATGGGCGGTTTAGCAACAGTCGCCCGCTCATAGCTTGGCGACAGGCTCGAGTACCGCTCGATCAGTGGTGACGATTTGGCAAGCGCGTCGCCAGCGAGGACGTCTGCCTTTGTCTTTTCAAACGTCACTGTAAACCAGGCCGTTGTGCCAACAGTCTCTTCGCTTTCCAGTTGAATCTTGCCCTTCATCATGACCTCTATCAGAGACTTGCAGATGCTGAGACCAAGACCGCTGCCACCATACTTCCTCGCCGTTCCAGCATCAGCTTGACTAAACGGCTGGAACAACTTGGCGAGTTGCTGTGGCTGAATGCCAATTCCCGTATCCCTGACCCAGAACGTGAGAGTCGCGCTCTCGGCTGTTTCTGAGTCTAGTCTCGCTCCAATCGTAATGGATCCGTCCTCTGTAAACTTGAGACTGTTGCCAATCAGATTACCCAAAACTTGATGCAGCCGAATAGGGTCTCCGTAAATCAGCATCGACGGCAAGTTGATGTCTTGTATGATTTTGACATTCTTCTTGGACGTCTTCTCGCGATTGCTGTACGACACGGCACGGACGACCTCACGAACCATTTCCTCGGGGTTAAAGGCGATTATGTAGAGCTTCATCTTGTCCGCCTCCATCTTGGAAAAGTCGAGAATGTCGTTAATCACTGTCAGGAGAAGATCTGCAGACACTCGGATGGAATCGGCCATCTCCAGCTGCTCTCTGTTCAGGTCACTATCCCGGAGCAGCTCAGAGTTGCCAATCACACCGTTGAGCGGCGTGCGCAGCTCGTGAGACACGTTGGCCAGGAAGATGGACTTTGCCTTGGCTGCCTCCTCGGCTAGCTTAACGTTGCGGTTGGCTTCAGCCTCTGCATCCTTGGCCTTGGTTTCCGCCTTGATCGCCTTCTCTAGAGCCCGGCGCTGCACAGACACCATGGAGCGATTCTCGGCCGACACTTTTTCGAGATCCCTCATCGTATGTGCGTTCGAGTAGCTGATCGCTAACTGGTTCACCAAGAGCTGCAACACGGTGACGTTGCGGTCCGTGAACGAGCGAGGCTCACCTTCCATGTACAAGACACCAAGAAGCGGTTTGTCGCCGTGCGCAATAGGAATAGCAATGATGGATCTCCCTAGTGGGTTCTTTTGCAGCCAGGTATCGTTAACGTTGCCTGCACGCTCATCAACGCTGAGGTCGGGGATGAAGACAGCTTCGCGGAAGCGTGTGCAGTACAGCACAACATTGTCTGCAATCAAGGAGTTTGCGGCAAGAGGGAGGCCTGGGTTGTGCGCAGATGCGCCTTTTTCGGGGTCACCACTGGCGGCAATGCACCACGAATTATCACCTGCATCCGGGTCTTGCACCACAATGGCAGCGAGAGTCGCCGAGCCTCCGCACGTCTGCAAGATCACATCGCACATGGTCTTGAGAAGCTCGTCGATTTGCAACACGGATGAGATGACCTGTGAAGAAACCAGAATAGCGTGCAGGTCAATCATATCGAGCGTGGGGAGTCCAGATACGTCGTCGCTTTGCATATCCATGGAGCCGCGCCAGGCTCCTATCCTGTCGCCTTTGACCTCCATTAGAGTATGCGAATTGACCTGATTCAGCTGGTGGTCGTCCTCGCCATCCACGTGAGGATATTGAACAGACGAGGTGTCCGTTACGAAATCAGTCTGCATTGCGGCATCTGCCGTCTGGTGGCTTCGGGTAGGTCCACGAAGCAGCAAGCAGTGCTCTTCTTCGATTGCTCTTGCGACTCCAGTGGCACCAAGCTGGCGGTATAAGCCCACTGTCTCCAGCAGCGCGGATCGGGCAGATCGTCTGGCGCGCCGGCGAAGGAAGAAACCGGCCATGAGGTAATTGCCCAGGGCTTCTTCAAAGACAAACCCGTGCTCACTGGCATGATCGAGAGCCTCTTCATAATGTTGCACTGCTTCGCCGTGATCGCCGACAAGCTCCACCACTTGCGCCTCCAAAAGCCGTGACCAGCAGAGATAATTGACATCTGATACCGTTGACCACTGCTGGATCTTGTCGACAAAACCTTGCATTTCCTTGACAATTTCCTGCGTTTGTGCCGAAAAGTTGGCCGTGGGCGAGCGCGGATCTTGCATTTGTCTCAGCAGCTGTCCGGCTCTAGCCAGGCCGTAGAAGAGTAGAGTCAGGCGACTGTTGCGCGCAGACCAGATGGCGTCTAGGTGATTATAGCATTTCCTGCCTAGCTCAACTGCTCTTTCATAGTGCCCATATAAGAACAAATTAACAAGCTCGACACTTTCGTACAACAGAAGGGATCGATTGCTCTCCTGCGTCTGCGTCGTGAGCCAAGTTTTATATCGAGGTCCATTATGGTGATCATCAGACATGATACCGAGGGCATCACCCACGTGGGTCTTGCCTTGAAGAGCACGGCATGTCTGTCGGATAGCCACAATCATGGCACCACCTCTTGTGTCAGAATACCAGGTAGGAATCTCCTCGCATGCAAATTGGCAGTAGCTCTCCAAGTCGTCAAGGTTCTCGCTCGCAAAGAACTTGGTATGCGCTGTAAGACCGTAGCTGAGAATTGTCGACATTCGATCACCGCCGACCGAAGCCAACTCAATGGCATCTTCCGTCTGCGCCACAGAGACCGGCATTGAGCAGTGAATATGCGCAAGGAAGAATGTATGGAGCATCTGGCCGCGGGCAATGGAGAACGTGTCACGTCCATCGTAAAGTAGATCCTGTGAGATGACGCCGAGCTCAACGGCAAACTCAGCCATTGAAAAGCGACAGAGGGCCACGACACCCATGTTGAGGAACGCCACACCAGACTGTGGGAATGCCCCCCGCGTGAGATGAGTATCGAGCATGACCAGTGTAAGGTAGTAATACTCCAAACAATCACTCCACCAGGCAGCACTCAAACTTTCGGACAGCACGGCGCCAATGGACGCCATGACCTGGTCGTTGCTAGTCCGTGCAGCTGTGATGGTGGACCGATCCATCGACTTGATCTTTGTTGCCAGCTCCTCAAACTTCTTATCGCACGCTTCGTATGTTGGCTCTCTTTCGACGTCCACGCCAATAGTGGCCATGCAGTCTTTCAGGGAAATCAGGGCAGCCAAGGAGTTGCCATTTTGGGCAAAGATGCGAGACTGCAGTACATAGGCAGGGGCCTTGTCCAGCGGTGTCTTGGCGTTGGAAAATATGATGGATAACAGGTCGTTGGCTTTAGATAGCTTGCTCATGTAGAGATAGCACTCAGCTGTGCGTAGGTGTAGTCGAAGCGTCTCGTCGTAGCTGACATCAGGGCTGTCCGGGTCCCAAGGTCCGGGCTGCAGCAATTGCAGTGCCTTGCTATAGTATTTGGAAGCCGTCGGTCGGGCTCCGTTCTCGACGGCATCTTGGGCGCATTCTGTTAGGAGTTTGCGGAAGTGCTCTCGTTTTGGGATTCGCGTTTTGATCAAAGGGACCGCTTTGCAGATGTGTCTAGCAACGTTGGTTCGTTCCCTTGAGTCATCAGGATAATACTTCATCAAAGTCTGCGCAATGATAAAATGCATCTTCTGCTCGTTGCACTCCTTCAAGCCTGACGAGGCGTGTATATATCGGTCATGTGCGAATCGGAAACGATCCTCCGTCTCGCTTTGAACAAGAATATAGGCTTGTACAGCTGCTTGTAAACCCTCGATAGCCTCGCCTTCTGTGTACTTGCTTTGCATAGGGGATTCAGCAGCGCAAAGCGGAGCTCCGTCTTCGAAGTTGTACTCGCCATGCATCAAACGACAGATAAGCTCAAAGGAAAAGGAACTTCCTATGAGAGCTGCCCATGCCAGAACGGCTCGGGCTGCGGGTGGTAATTCGTTCAGTCGTCGAGTAATGAAATCGGTGTCGAGCAATTCAAAGTCTTTTTCCCCTTGAAACTGGGCAAAGATCTTGTCCAGATCGTAGTGCCACTGTGAGTCGCGATAGTCGTACCAGATACACCGCTTTCGGTTGCATATGCTGAGCATCTCGCGGATATAGAATGGATTGCCTGCCGTTTTGGATTGGATCGCCATGGCTAATTGCAGGATATCGTCGGTGGGCCTAGCGAGGGTCGCGGCAACATACTTCAGAACCTCTGCTTCGGTGAAGGGGGCCAGTTTTAACTTCGTTATGGTTGGCCGACTGCTCTTGGGCAGTTCTTGGATTTCTGGAGAGTAGACGACGCTCTGCATCTTTTCGGCTGAGAGTTCTTCGGGACGGTGCGTCAGAATTATGACCATTCGCATACGGGCGCTGATGACTTGGGAAACGAGCTCCAGGGACTCTTCGTCGGCGAAGTGAAGGTCTTCCAAGCAGAAGCAAATGAGCTTGTGGTGTGTAAAAACGCGCAAGACGTCGAGGAACGTGTTGACAAAACGTCTCGTCTTTGTCGAGGCGCCAACGCGTAGAAAGTCGTGGGCGGTCTGAGAGGCGATGCTGGTTCCGCCACCAGAGGGGCCGGGCGAGATACCGGGGGAGGAGCCTCTGCGCTTACCAACACGGCCGTTGTTCCGCAGCCCCGAGCTTTGCGATAGCGATATAGTGCGGGAAGCTACGGTATCTGCCGGGCCTAACAAAAACTCGGGAAGGCCCAAAGTTTTGTGCAGCATGGGCCAGACGGGGCGGACGTACTGCTTCAGCGCTTGGTGAAACGGCGTGTCCGTGTTTCTCTCGCCCCAGACTTGCTTGAAGAGGGATGATAGGAGCTTAATGAGTGGACCATGTGCTGCTCGCCTTGCGGAATCGAACTTGGCCGTGGCACAATATCCACGTCTGCGAATATCAGGCAATACGGACTGTATCAAGCAGCTCTTGCCCAAACCACCAGCACTGTCAATCACGACAACTTCGCAATGGCCTCTACGCCTGAATTTGGCGGTTCCGAGCTGTCTGGATAGTGTGGACGCTCCCGAGTCTACGCCACCGTGGCGACTTCCGTCATAGCCAGAGCTATCGGCAGCAGAGTTGGTGTCATTGGACATGGACTGGTGGCGCTCCCAACGACGGGCTATACGAGGCGCCGGGAGGGTATTGATGGAGTGTGATGTGGAGGCGCTGTCTGAATTATGCGAATCGGCTGGTGCCGAGGACTGAAAACTGCCCTTGAACAGCCTTTGGTCGTTGATGGACGTTTGAGTGAAGGAAGCGCTTCGCCGGGTGTTGCCGTCGCCAGTCGAGCTAGCGCCTTCACTAGAGGCGTCATCGGGTAGGAAGGCATCGTTGTGGAAGCTAGAACCGTCAGAAGATTTCGGGTGCGGGCCTCTGGCTTGTACAGAGTGAGATCTAGATACGCGGTCAATGACACGAAGCAGCTCATTCCTCTCCTTGTCCCGGCCAATCATGACTGTGGGAAGCAGAAAAAAAGACGAGACGTCCTTGGAGCCGATATGCAGATCAGCAAGGGCTTGAAGGTCTCCGTTACCAAGATGCTCTTGGACCAAGACCAAGTCGTGGCGCAACCCGCTAGCGGAGAGGTAGCGGTCGGCTACATTTTTAGCGGTACACCTTTGTATGATGCGTCCAATAACGTCGGGGATGCCTAGCCGGACAGTGGTGACGTTTGGTATTTTCTTGTTCAAGACGCCCTGGACGATATCGAGGGGGTTGTCGCCGCTAAATACGGGCTGCCGTGTGAGGAGGGTCCAGAAAAGGACGCCGAGGGAGTAGATGTCGGTGCGGCTGTCGGGCTCTGCCGGCATGCGGCCTGTCTGTTCGGGGCTTATGTAGAGGAGCTTATTTTTGGCGCCGATTTCCTTGGAAAGGGTCGACCAGCCGGTACTAGTCAGGCCATGCTCGAAGGATCGCAAACCGGAGCCAAACGAGACGATTCGAACCTGGTTGGTCTCGACGTTGAAGTGAAAGGCATCGCCACGAAGCTCGCCATGAATCATGCCATGGTGATGGTGGAGAATCTCGAGGCACTCTGCTGCACCTATTGCGAAATCGAGAAAGTGTTCAAGGCTGATGGTTTGCCTGGGAGCGAGTTGGAGGTCGGAGTAGGATTGGTAGGACTCGCCATCTTTGCGGGCTCTATAGAGGGCGGGGCCCATGTCGAGGACGTCAAACAGGTAGTTAGGACCGATGCGCTGATAGATGGCGACGACGAGGGCGGAGCGGTCTCCCGAGGTCGGAGGTAGCCTCATGAGATCAAGTGGTCTGACAATATGATGAGCGTTTGGGTCAGCCTTGGCCAAGAAGTTCTTGGCGATCTGAAAAGCCCGCTCCTCGCGAAAGGTGTGGAGAGAGATGCGGGCAACGATGGGTTCTTCGGCGTAGGAGGAATCGGTAGCAGAGGTTGACGAGGCTGTCGAGGGAGGGCGGGAGAAGATGGACGGCGAGGGGAATGGCTCGCCATCCAAGGCGGACGTGGGTGTTTGTTGTCCAGCGCCATGGTCCGAGGTTGATGGCCGTAGCTTGCCCGCGATTGCGGCGCTTTGTAGGTGGTGGGACGAGGCGGATGGTGTCGGGGCTTGAGGCACAAGCCGCGTGCCGAAAATGTACCTGCAGCACAACGGGCGGTTAGAACACGGGAGTACGGTAAGCAAGTGTGGGAGGGGATGCAGACGCCGACGACGGCGACAACGCTGACACGGGACGGCTCGTTGTCGAAAGAGGGGGTTCGCACTGAGGGAGGCGGGCGCAGAATGACGTACCAGTAGTCGTACGTGGAGTGAATCGGGTGGATGGACTCGTCCCAGGTGTAGCCGGCTATCTGGCGCAGGCGCTCAAAGAGGCGCGGGGGAGGCGGAGGGGGGTCGAGGGCCTCTTCCGCGACAACAGCGGCACCGACCATGATGAGGAGCGGCGCGTAACCATGGAGCGGCCTCGGTGGCGGGTGCTGGTTCCGGGGGTGAAGAAGAGAACGTCAAAGGGTGGAGGAAAAGCAAAAGTCGTCCAACGAAGGGGGTTGGAAAATGGCGTGTCGGTCGGAGGTCGTCGAGCAGCCAAGAGTGGAGGTACAGGACGGACGTCGGGGCGGGAAAATCAATCGAACGGAGAACGGGACTGGGCGGGCAGCATGGTCGAGATCGGTCGGCGCGCCAGGTGGAAGTGTGTTTGCGGAATTGAAGAGGAAATTTGTAAAGAGGACGGCAAGTCTTTTGGTTCAAATGAGCACCATGTTCGGGGGAAGAAGAAGAGAAAATAGCCCATACGTCACCTGCAGGAGGGCAGAGACCGAATCTGCAAGGTTGAACGGACAAGGCAGCCGACAGCAGCAGCAATTGGCGGCAAGGCAAGGGCAGAATAAGTGAATGTGGCAGGCAAGTCAGCGAGCGGGCTGCAGTTCTTGCAGAGGGTGTTAAATTGGTGCTAGTGGAAGTTGGCAGGCTTCCAGTAGCTACCTTGGGCGATCGCTTGCGGACGAGGAACAGGCGTTTGCTGGGAAAATGAAGAATTACAGAAAGCACAACAAAAATGGAGGATGAGGCTAGGTGCAGTTAATTCTCACGATGCTACTGTGCCGTGTGATGTCCGCAAGCAACGTTGTTGTTTTTGTGTGCTTTATCGCTCTACCTGGTGGCAATAAGCTTTTCGTTGACACCACCAGCCTCGCCAACAAGCGGGTTACCTAAAGCAGGTGCAAGTACCACTCTACTGCCTCCTGCACCACAACAGTAGTTTGTACTAGGTCAAGCAAGATAAGTATTGGTCGACTCTCGCATTTCAAGCCGTCTGTCTGTCTCATCTTCTTTATTTATTTCATCATCGTTATAAACCTGAATCTTTCCGTCCCGTTGGGGCAGCAGCGCCCGCAAGCAAGGCTACTTTATTGCCTTGCCCACCAAGGTGAGTTGTTTGGGTACCAACCATTATTGCCTATTCCCAGGCTGCAGCGAGCGGTGGAGTCACTGTCTCTCTACCCTACCTGTAACCATCGAACTAACTAACCTACACATACAATGTACACAACCCGCAGCCCGCAGCCAGCCTGCTTGGCGATGGCGCTTCCCTCATCACTGTGCGACGCATCAGGATGAGTGCATGGTTATGATTATGATGACAATCATTGATATATTAGCAGTCTAATACATTGTGTTGTTTCCCCAAGGATACCTATAGCTATTCATTTAAACTATAACTTAAGCGCTAGACAACTCAGTCAACATCAGCCCCTCCAACGTGATACCTCCTGTCCAGCTACCTCCCACCAGCCTGCCTAGTAGTTACAGTAACCTTCGCGCTTCACCACACACACCAGATATTCCTCCTTCATTTTTAATTACTCACCCACAGCTCATCTCCCCTCCAGCTATTTCTCTCACTTTTCCGTCTCTCACTCTGTCTCTGTCAACCAAGCGCCCCTCACTCTCCACCGTCAACAAAGAAAATAACAAGTCCCTTCCCTTTTCCTCGCCCAAGTATCTTGCTGCCCAAGCAACCTCGTCCTTCTTCTCGTTCCCCCCTCGGCGTCGTGTCCTGACAAGGTTCACCCTGCATCGTGGCTCGACCCTTTTTCTGCATGGCTTCTGGTCATCTGGTCATCACGGCCCGCCTTGACCGCCTCCCAACAGCGTGAGCCCTGCCCAGCCCGCAGCTAAAGTCCGTGCAGATCGCGCAGGCAGCACGCAGGAGAGAACTCGTCAGCCCGTCATCGTCTTTCCTGTTCGAGCTTACCACTCTAGCACGCCTCCAAGCCCAAATACGACCTCCATGTTCGTGCGAACTGCCAACAAACACGCATCTACTTTGCTCCGTCATCGCCGCCAAGCTCCGTTCTATGCAAGCTGCCCGCCGCCAAAAAAAGCCTTCCGTGACCCAGGACAACACACCAACGTGTGGATTGGCACCAATCATCGTGCTTCAATGACCATGTATGTAGTACATACTGGTAGCTGCAACGGCCCGTACTATCTTTCTTCTCTTGCAGCCTTTGCACACGCTTGCTTCAGCATTCATCGACAGATTACGTTCAGTTTCCGTCTCGCAAGATGCCAAGTCTATTATTATTCTACTTTTTGTCCGTCCTTTCGTATATCAAATCAAAAGCTCTACAGCAAATCTTGCGTGAAATGAACATCATCCCGTCAAACATAAATTCCAACCTTGCTCTCCTACAGCCCTTGGCAGCCCCCTTAGTTGCGTAGCGGCAGACCGTTAGCCTTACTGTAGTCGAACGCCTGAGCAAGACGTCTCTCCGTGTTCTTGCGCGTGTTGACAAAGTTGGGGTAGTTGAGCGTCAGCTCAACTGCACCGTTGTGGATCGCATCAACCGCCTCCACACCCAGCATAAAGGAGTGGTCTTGGTTGCCAACTTCGTAGCGCCAGCTGCCAAAGCGACCACGCGACAGGATATCCTGAGCCTCCAGCTTGGGGAGCAGCTCCTTGAGGACACCTTCACGCTCCAGACTGGGGGTTGGGTAGCCGTGGTCGAAGCGGCGGAGGTATGTCGAAACAATCTCGTCCTCGGGACGAATCATCTCCGTGTTGATGAGACCCTGAATGCAATCCTTCAAGAGAGTCTCCTGGTTGACAGGCTTCATCGTAGACTCGGAAACCTCGAGCATGATGGACCAGTAAGGGCCTTCCTTGGCCTCCGATGAAGGAGCCTTGTCGCCGTTGGCCAGGTACAGCGTGGGCAGCTTGACATTGGCCTCGGGCTGGTTGTAGGGGGAGTAGTTGGAAAAGATGGTGGCGCGGTAGAATGGGCAGTCGTCCTCGGGGAAGTACAACTGTTGACAGGTCAGCTTCCGGGTATTTTATCCCGTCGGTTTCAAGATTCAAGGGATCGAAACTTACCCAGCACTTGTCACCGATACGCTCGGGGCGGGCGCCACGGATGCCAACGCCAATGACGTTGGTAGAAGAGTAGTACAGTCCCTTGGACAGGCTGACAAGCTCCTGGTTACCCATCTTCTCGACCAGCTGGTCGACAGCCATGGTGTTGACGAGCTTGTTGTAGCTAACGCTGGAGCCGTCCTTAAAGCTGACAACCTTGTTCTCGGCGTCGATCTTGGTGACCTCACCCTGAGCGCCGAAACGCTTCTTCTCCTTGGGGAGAGTTTCGGCGACAGCGATCCAGATACCACCGGTGCCGTCGCGGGCAGGGAAGCGGAAGGTGGCGTTAGGACCCCAGTTACCAGCAACCTTGCCCAGGATGGCGTTGCTGGTGACGAGCTTCACGTCGGGCGCGGCGACACGCTCACCGAGCCACTCGCACTGCATCTGCAGGGGAGCCAGTCAGCCAAAGCTCATGTCTACAAGAAGACGGGGAGGGGTATGAACGTACCTTGGTGGTGGGAACGGCCCAGACCTTGTAGTTGTAGGGACGCATAAACATGTCGGCAAGACCGCTGCCCATGGAGCGCAGGATCCATTCGTCAAAGTCCTTGGGCTTGCCGGTAGCAACGCGGCCTTCGAGCGAAGCATCGATGAGGCCCTCGATGGCCTTGACCTGGTCCTCCTTGGGCAGCATGGAGATGTTATTCTGGAACGGGTAGGGAACCCACTGGCCCTTGTAACGAACGTAGGAGATGCGCTGATGGGTATACCAATCGTCGTCCTGGGGGAGGGCCTCGTCGATACAGTCGTCGAAGTACTTGTAGTGGGAGAAGATGACATGGCCGCCCACGTCGTAGAGCTGCGGACGAAGTTAGCAAAGGGGAACCCAGCGCGATTGCGGTGCGACGAGGTCGTTTGTGTACTTACGAAGCCTTCAGGAGTGACATCAGTGCTGGCAAGACCACCGGCCTTGTCGCCAGAATCGACAATTAGCCAGGAGGGGCCGTTCTAATGCTTGTTAGCAGGGGAGACGCTCTCTCCGTAGTCCGAGGAGGGGTAATGGCTCACAATCTGGTGCAGACGTTTGGCGGCACCGAGACCAGTAGGTCCCATGCCAATGACGAGAACATCAACGTGTCTGTTTGGCGATGATTGTCAGTCTCACACAGTCCATTTCCCGAGCCTGACATCGAGCAACGTCTGTTGGCTGCGCGGGCGGTTTATGGCGGGGGGGCGGACGGGGAAGCTACTCACTGGTCGGCGCCCATTGTAGTGGTGAGAGAGTGTGTCAAGGGTAAACAGCTGCAAATAATCGATCAAGTTTGAAAAGAAGATGACGGGGTAGCGCGCAGTGCAAACGGGAAACAGCAATGTCTGGAAAATCAAGAAGTGGTATGAAAGGAAAAGAACCCGTTCCCAAGGTAGGCCGCAGACGGTGAGGGAGATGGACGTGGTACGTATAACTTAGATTTGGTGTGGTGGCCAAGAGGCGCAACCAACCATTTTTCTTTAAATAAATATTTTTTTTGGCCCGTTGCATCTTCTCGGGGATCCCCTGGCAACTGGCACTAACGCTATTTTGGCGGCGCCCTGGAAAAATAAAATTGAGGCTAGCGTTGGCTGGAGGGTTGGAGGGGCCTTTATTTTTAGGGGGGTTGGGTGGACGAGTTGTGACCTTCCAGTGGCCTGTGAGATTTGTTTTTGAGTCTCTTCTCTCCGAACCCCCACTATTGGTACGTGGCCCCAGGTTTGATGGGATGGATGTGTGGGTCGCATATTTACTTCCTACAACATCGTAAGTACATAAGTTGAGGCGCTGTGGCATTCGGGTGACGACTCAAGTAGTAGCTAGGCGGTGTATTTTGCTACTTTTTACTTTTGCTACTGCGCGGTACACGGCGTCTCCCCGCGGCAAGTAGAACAGATGGCCTAGAGGCTCATGGAAGTAGCAAGGCATCAATTCGAGTCCGGACCAATACCATCATTAGAGGAAACCGTTGACGACGCGTGCTCTTCTATAGGCATTATTGATAGCGTGAGGGATTCTGACGGATTCATTCCGCGGGCTATCGCCCGTCACTGCTGTGTCCCAACATCCGAGTGACAGCTACCTGATTATGCGAGGGGACACAAGGCTGTTGTCTTACTGATAGCAATGGGATGCAGGAGCCATGAGCGTGACAGATGTTGCTATATTTTGTGTCTTGGAACTGTACCTTTGAATGTGTGACGGCTCTATGAAGCTGCATACAGGCTGATTGCAACAGCAACTCAGGTGCCTATCAGGGTGCAGCTACCTCTTCGCAACCACCAACAACCCTAATAAACTGTCTCATTCATTTCATTCATACATGTTCTGCGGTGGTACTCATGCAAATTTGCCGATACCTGTCGGCACTGCCACCACAATGTGAGGTGCAAATCGTGGTACATGAAACTTCAAAGTTGCAAAGGACCGGATCGCAAAACCACCACCATCTACGGATAACACGGCCGCTTCCGTTTGCTTCCGGTACCGAGTCACTGGTCATCACAGGCGTTCATGTTTAGCCTGGCGGTCGATCTTACAACTGTTGTTACCAATCAAGCCAGGTAACCAACGAGATTGTGCCATGCTGATCTGCCCGTGATATGATTCACAGTAGCGAAGAACCCACGCTGCCTTGCAAGATCGGCGTGCGCACCTATTTTCCAAACCGCCGGAGAGCCCTATAAGTTTCGGCTGTTGACTGTACGGATACTGTGATGGGACGATTGGCAATGTGGTTTGGAGTGTAGCCACAATTCTGAAACGACGAGATCGCCAACCACCCCGCATCGACGTTCCACCAGCTTGACAAGCTTTGCAAGATTGCCAGCCAACCAGAGCAAGCAAGCAATCACATTATCAGTCTTCGGTCATGACCTAACGAGATAGAAGTGCGCGTGTTTTGATAAGGAGCGGAAGCAGCCAGTTGTCATTAATTTGCAGTGCAATATGTGATAGTGATGACTGTGCATTACATATTCCTATTGTGGATCGGGTGCCATTATCCATGAGATAGACGAGCATATTATTATGGCGGCGCAGCAATAGGCTCCGGCGTCTTGTTTTGTACCTATGCGTCGGCTGCTAACCAGACCCGCGGCTTTCGGTCCAGAACTGCGAAGACTGTTTAAGGATAGCCGCCAGCAAGTCAGGAGTCAGGCGCTCTACGGAGGAATACACCGCTGCATGCGCCGGATGCCAAGCTTTCTGCTTGGCTTTCTTTTTTGGACGCTATTCCCACTCTGGCTGCGCAGCCTTGCGCACGATGCATCCGTCGATGCGACTAGTCAGCCTCGTGGTAGATTCGGCGGCGGGAGAGTATCGTTCGACGTAGTACGCATACGGACTACCGGAATGTGAATGTGCATGCTGTCTTTTCTTTTCCCTGTTTATCGCAGAGACATGCATCCAGGCACTAATTAATAAATGCTTTCGGGCGTAGTTCATCTACCAGTAATGCAGTACTTGGATGGCGCGGCGGTGGAACGGGCATTGCCTCGTTTTGCGACAGCGCTATCGAAAGACGAGGAGAAGACGAAGGCGGCCAAGGGCCAAGCGTGTTCAGGGTTCAAAGGACGGAATCGAAGAATGATGCCAACGTGTGGATGGCGAGAGGTTCAAAAAAAAGGAGTCGACCATCTTAAAAATTCATGTAAAATTATGAGCATCTCGATCGCCAGTTTGCACTGCCTTGGAATTTTAAATTCTCCTTTTTTATCTCGAGCAGAGGCCAATTACGCCTTCGACTTGGGCGTATCACGCTCCAACGTGGGCGACTTGATTCGTCGGGAGCAAGTTTTTCTTACCTGATTGTTGGTGCTACTGAGTGCGACATACAATTGCTCATCTTTGTGCGGCCCCGCTATCCGATGGCTGTTTCCCCCCTGTCATCACGCTATAACGTCCCCTGCAATGCCCCTTTTTACAGGGGAAAGCAAGGACATACAGACCAGCAGATGACGAGAACATCAACGTGCAGGAAACAGGCTTGGTCTGAAAGCGGCTCCCCTCCTCCGCAGAGAAGCGTCGACTGTGTTTGTTCTGTTTCAATATATGCCCAACTAGCACTGCCAGACTGCAGTGTGCATGCGAGTCAGAATAGGAGAAATGCCTTGACATCTTGATGCCATGCGGTCGTTTGGCCATTCAGCACACAAGCCCACAACATGATCGCCGCCTCTTACGCGTCACCGACCCGCCAACTGGCGACAACTCCCCGTCGACTATCAATATTAGGGAGGGGAACAAAGCAGCAAACCGTCATGCCGTGTAACTTATATTAAGAAAGGAGAGGAGAGCGTGAGAGAAAGACGAGCAACGGCGGTGGGTCGTTCATCCTGTTTGCTGAAACTGCCACCCGTCGCTTGCAGAAGACCCAGGATGAAGGCGATTAAAGGTAGGAAAGGCACGGAGTACAGACTCTATCAAAGATAAAATAAAATGAAACAGAATGGTACTATCCACATACGTGAGTTATTAGCGAAAAACGCTTTCGTCTTATCGTGTCGCGCCACATACATACCTCGCCCGGCCTTGGTAAAAATTAGCGCCCGCTGCGTGCTGAAGATGGAGTGGTGCAACTTCCGGGCCCTTAGTGGCATAAACACCACTGAAAATCGCTTCACTCTCGCTAATTCCCGCTGCAAGGGCCCCCATCTGGAGCTACGCCCCCTGTAAAACGCAACCTCATTCCCTCTGCCACTGCCACTGCCACTGCCACTCTGCCTTTGCCCCGGCTGGCAGAGAACAGCAGCAGCCTATGTACCAACCATTACAGCCACTACGTACCAGTCTCACTTTTCTACTGTGGCGTCGCCCGCTTTCGCTTCAGCTATCTATCGCAAGGAGGCCGCGAACCATTATTTTTTTTCTTCCGCCTCTCTCTCCATCCTCGCAGCCCCCACAGGTACCCTCCCACCATCAAAGGCGCTTCCTCTTCTATGTACAACCGTTCTACCTCTTCTCTTTCTTCTATTCTTCACTCTTTCTCTTCGTGTTCCTATCCTCGGAATCCCTCCACTTTACCTCTCTATTCTTCTAATTCCATGAAATCCCACAACGCTCTCTACTAACCCCTATCGTTGTGCTGCCCCCGTGCCCAATCCCCCCCATCTATCCCTCCACCCCTTCGACATTTGCGCCAACCAGCCAACTGAATCACGATACCCATCCTCGCGCCGTTGCGATAGTAGCGACTGCGACAGCTTGATCCTCATACGAATTCACTTATACTACGATCCTACAAAACAACTTCAGCATGTCTACCGAAGACAAGGTGCGCGTGTCGGACGATGCGCCTCGCAACGCCGCGCAGGTCCTCCCTACCGTCAACCCTGCCGCCGAGAAGCCTCAGCCTGCCAACGCAGGCATTCACCCGGCTCTCTATGTCATGTACGTTGATGCTGCGTGCTGGTTGCTGCTGCCACCGCCCCGGATACAAAGGCTAACACATTACAGCATCTGGATTGGCTTCTCGTCCTCCGTGATCCTCTTCAACAAGTGGATTCTTGATACTCTCAAGTTTCGTACGTCTCCTTGCAATCGCGATGCAGCTCACGACACTCGACGACTCTAACAATACTCTAGGCTACCCCGTAATCCTCACCACCTACCACTTGGTCTTTGCGACCGTTGTCACCCAAGCCCTCGCCCGCTGGACCACCGTCCTCGATGGTCGCAAAAATGTCAAGATGACCGGCCGCGTCTACCTCCGTGCCGTCGTCCCCATCGGTCTCTTCTTCAGCTTGAGCTTGATTTGCGGTAACCTGACCTACCTCTACCTGTCTGTCGCCTTTATCCAGATGCTCAAGGCCACCACGCCCGTCGCCGTTCTCCTCGCCGGCTGGTGCCTTGGTGTCTCCCAGCCCAACATCAAGCAGTTCCTCAACGTTTCCGCCATTGTCGTCGGTGTCATTATCGCATCATTTGGTGAAATTGACTTTGTTCTCGTCGGCTTCCTCTTCCAGATGGCTGGTATTCTGTTTGAAGCCCTCCGTCTTACCATGGTCCAGCGCCTTTTGAGTTCTGCCGACTTCAAGATGGACCCTCTTGTCTCCCTCTACTACTTCGCCCCCGTTTGCGCTGCCATGAACGGTCTCGTTGCTCTGTTCTGGGAGGTTCCCAAGGTTAGCATGGCTGAGGTCTACCACGTTGGTCTCTTCACCTTCTTCCTCAACGGTCTCTGCGCCTTCATGCTCAACGTCTCTGTTGTTTTCCTTGTGAGTTCATCCTCGGCATCTCCGTGCCGCGCTTCTACTAACAGAGCCTGCTCAGATTGGCAAGACCTCCGCTGTCGTCCTGACGCTCTGCGGTGTCCTGAAGGACATTATGCTCGTCGTTGCCTCCATGATGATCTGGGGCACCCCCGTCACTCCCCTGCAGTTCTTCGGTTACTCCATTGCTCTTGGTGGCATGGTCTACTACAAGCTCGGCTACGACCAGATCAAGGGCTACGTTGGTGAGGCTTCTCGCCACTGGGCCGAGTTCGGTGCTCGCAAGCCCGTTCTGCGCAAGCTCAGCATTATTGTCATGATCTTCTTCATCGTTGCCCTATTATTTACCGGTTTCGCCCCCTCATACGACCCCTCCAGGGTCGTTGCCGACGTCACTAGCAAGATGGGCAAGACCGATGCCAACTAAGTTGGTCACAAAGCGTTAGCACAAGATGTAGCCCTTCATTTTTAACCGCCGTCATGAAGCGACAGCGGGCCTCTTTGTGCATTTCCTTTCATCATGGCTTTGTAACATCTTGCCCTGGAGCGAGTTGGCGGTGGAGTCTCGGCACCGCAATCAATACAGTCCACAATCTGGACGAGACAATTGAACAGAGCAGAGGATAAATGTCATCTCAGGAACCCGTCTATCAGTATAATTATTCAAGCCAGACGTACGACGCGAGAGCAGCTCACCAGGACGCACCAACGGCGTTCAAGAGCCTCACGGATCCGGAGACCCACGAAATGAAGATAAAACAGGAACTCCAGAGAGAAGGACTTGGCCCACATGTATTTTAGACGGCGTTTCACAATAGAGAAATGTATAAATGATTTTGACACTTTTGGTCGGATTGTTTCGTCTCTTCGACTATTAATAGGCGTCTCAAGGAGGAGTTCTGCCCGTCAAGCTGCGACAGGCGCCCTTTGATCGACGCCAACGTCGATCATCACGACGGCAAGCAAATCAATGAATTTCCTTTCATTTCATTTCATGTCATCATCCAGGCCAGAATCAAGTCCAACCTAAAAAGAAAGAGAAGAGATAACACCATACGTCTATCTCGTCGTTTCTTCCCCGTTCTCGTCCGCTTGATTTGACACAAGAGTGAACCACATCTCATCACAGCACGTTCAAGACATGGGACGTTATCATTTGTTTTGGTGTCGTGTTAAAATTTTTGTGTGTGTAGTTTGGACGAATTTTTTTGTTCACATGAAGCCCGTTTATAAAAGAAAACCCCTGGGTACCTCAAGTGCCATTCGAATGCTCTTTACATCCCGCCAACTCCCATGACCGTAATGGAGAAAACGACTAGTTTAGAATCCTATAGAGAAGAGCCCGGTTAGCAAACAACAAATTCTCTGAATATTCGCAATCTTTCCCGTTCATCGCCCAACGTCGAGCGAAGCGAGGCAAAGAAAAACAAGGGGGGGGACGTACTCAAGGGGGTGAAGAACCAACGGTTCTTGCCGCTGGTGTAGCGCTCCTCGAGCGCCTTCTTGACCGTCTTCTTGGCCTCCTCGCGGTGGGAGACCTCCTTGAAGGTGTCGGCGGTGACGGAGCCCTTGAGGCCCTCGAGCTCCAGCGTGTAGCGGGTGGGCATCAGGTGGTTGTAGTTAATGACCTTAATAAAGGGCTTAACCTTCGAGCGCTTCTCCTGACGGGCCTTGGACATGCGGCGGGTGATCTTGGAGGGGTAGCGCTCGATGCCGGCGACGACGGCGTGGCCGAAGGGGTGGGGCTTGTTGCCGTTGTCGACGGGCTGGATGATGACAACCTGGAGGTGCGTGAGTTAGTATGGGATTTGAGGTTTGGGCGGTAGAGGGGAGGGACTTCGTGTCGGGCAGTCGTGGGTTCAGGCGTGAGAGGGGTGTCGTATGCCAGGTTCGGGGTCGTTGGAATGTCCAAACGGTCCAACGGTCCAATTCTAGAGAGTAGCTGCCATGCGATGTTTGGAAGAGTCGTCTGGGGTGTTTGTTGAGCATTTCGCTTTGCAGAATCGGAGCATCGTGGTTGCAGTTAAAGTGCTTTGCAACAGAGCCCAGGATAAGTCGTTCGTTGATGGCGAGTACCGAATAGGTTCATGCCCTCGCGCTAGCTCAATAATTCGGTAGTCGGCAGTGTATTCGATGGCAAGATTCGAATGCCAATTCGTATGCGCAACATCGTGGCAGCCTTGTCTCTCTTCGTTGCTTCTCGTTGGACCGTTTTCTGAACAACCCTTGCCGAATCTTATGGCGACGAACGTCCCTCACTCTCTGATGGCGAACCCAGCAAATGACGACGACGAAGTCTCGCAATCAGTAAAGAAAAAGCCGTACCTTCTTGCCGGCATAGCGGCCTCGGGTGATGATGGCGACACGGCCGACCTTGAGGAACTTCATTTTGTCGGGGGGTGTGTGGTGTGTGAATTAGAGGTTTTTCAAAAGACACACTTTGGGACGCACAGCCGTGATACAGTAAATTTGGGCTGCGTAAATTTTTTTGGGGTTTGTGGGCTGGCGTCCCAAGCGAGCGTGCCCAGTCACGTGAATTACTGGTCACAATGTGCGGCCTGGGTATGGTGACCCCACGTGATGTTGAATTTTGGAGAATGATTCTTAGTCATCAGTCTCATTCATCCCATCCGGCTACTTGGCTCAACTCCTTGCATGCAACAGCCACTCAGTCAATTCGTGTGATAGTTATCTGCTGGTTACCAAGATGCCCGCACCGACATACATCATCTCGAGGGTCGCCGACCCCATCTTTGCGCTCGTCATTGGCTTATCTGCGGCCGGGCTGCGCATCCACCGTGAGGAGGAGGCCAAGGGCAACACCACGAGCCAAACCATCCAAACAGGTCTACGGTGCGCGTCAATCATATTATGAATTCGTTTTCTCATTTCTATATAATACACTAACTTGTTTTGTATAGACGACTCGGGCTCAAATCAGCACCGGCCTCATAAAATGTGTCATAAGCCGACCCAGAACGCCATTATGCTATCCTGTCCTCTCAATGCTAGTAGCTACTGTATAATAATACCATCATGATACCCCCCATTTCTTCGCGGAACCCAAAATCAAAGCATATCGGAGAAAACAATGCAGGGAGCCCAAGTTCAAAGCAAAGCTGCCGTAAGAGCGACGCAGAAGCTCCGTCTCTCTACTCCTCCGGCTCGGGCGGCATGAAGCCAGGGCCGTACTCCTTGCGCATGGCCTCGCGTACGATCTGGCCGCAGAGCTTGGCGGTCGGGTTGACGCTGACGGCGAGGTTCTTGGCGATGTCGTTGCCGTAGCGGCCGCCGAGGGCGAGGTCGTGCGAAGCAGCCTCCTGGAAGCGGTGCGCGGACCAAGACGCCTCGCGACGCGCCGGGTCCACGTCGAGCACGCGACCGCCGCCGGCTGCCAGCGCCCGGCCCGTCTGCAGGTAAATGGCGCCGCGCTGGGCGCGGCGGGCGTGAGCAGCGCGATGGACCGCTCCAGGTCCTCGAGCGCGCGCGCCGCCGCCTCGCGCTTCTCCTCGCGCCGGGGCGTCAGGATGAGCGGCAGCGCGGCGCCGCCGCTGCTGGTGGTGGTGACGTCGAGAAGCATCAGGTCGCCGTAGAGGCGGCGGGCGGCCTGAGCGCGGTTGTTGCGGGCGCTCGCGTACCGCGGGTGCTCGTCGACGAGTGCGCTGAGCTGCGCGACGGCCTCCCGGTACCCGGCGACGGCGCGCTCGTCGGCGTCGAGGTCCTGCGACTGCGCGAGCTCGGCCTCCAGCGCCTGCAGCGAGGCGACGATGGTGCGCTCGCGCGCGGCGGTCCGCTCGTAGACGTCCGGGTCGGTGAGGTGCGGGTCGCGCGGGAGGCGCTCGTCGAGAATGAGGCTGGCGGCCGGGTTGAAGTCGGGGTCGCGCATCTTCTCGAGGACGTTCATGTCCCGCTGGGAGAGGTCGACGTGGGCAGCCATGACGGGTGTGTGTGTATTTGTGTGCAGGCGCGAGTCAATGTCAGGGGGAGGATATTCTGCGAATATGTATGGACAAGTTGCGAAACTTTGTTGGCTAGAAAATCGTGTGTCCTGTGTGCTTATATATCGGCTCTGGAAGGCGAAGTCTGGAAGCACTTGAGTTCCCTTGAACCGCTCGCCGCCACCCCACTTACTTCCGTCATGGCGCGGGGCTCGGCATGCGGCGCCATGGAGAACAGTTCCGCGATTTCCTTTTCAACCTCTCCATGCTTGTATACCAAATTAAGGATGTTGAATACGCCTCAAATCAATCGAGAATCATTGAATTCTTCATTGACCGATCTTTGATATGCTGCACTTTGCATCAGTAATTCGTCGCATTGATCTGTGTAAAGACTTGCCGCTAACGGCTAACCACGGCATACTCTCCCCGCCGTCCTCTTAGACTGCGATATTGTCTACGTCTGCATCACTGAGTTCGTGTAAGTGCCAGAAGTCGCTGTGCCTTGATGTTCTAAACGGGCACGACTGCCTCGGTGAAACAGAGCTTCATCTTTAGAGACTCGTACTCGGCGCCTCTCCGTCATATAGCGTCTAAGAGGGACGGACTTTGTAGCTCCAAGGTGTGGCTGTGGCCGTGGTTGGCCTCTCCCGCCAAAAATTGTAGTCGGACTCGCATTGGTACAACAGTTTGGCAAAATAGAAGGACTGGCTTCTGTGGTACATTTCCAGCATTCTTGGACACTGGTTTCCTGCCTGGTACAAAGCGTAAGATATTCCTGGTGTGGGCACACGCACATGTGCGGTTACGGTGCAAACAGACGACATGGGCGGCTGTAGATTCGAAACGGCATCAAATTCATTGCTTATCAAGTTAAAAAAAAAAAAAAAAA